CGCGTAAATGCAAATGAAGCCAATCACAGTGGGTGTTTGTGCAGGACAACAGCAACGCGGTTTACCGATTGCAGCGAGTCACTCGAATGCGTTTTTAATCGATCTACAGGATTCACGTCACGCAGCATCGCGGGACAAGCGCGAAGCCATGGAAGCCCAGCTTGGGGCCTGTATGTGCACAGCGTGGCTAGACCAAGCCAGTCACATTTCTGAAAACGTGGCCTTTATAACGTTTCAAGGCAGGCTATTTTATACTGCTTTACACTTGGTAAGGAATCGTCAGCACGTTTTAACACTAAAATCTCACTGCTGTGATTATTCACAGAGATGTTTGTAGTAAGGGCTGCTGCTGCTGCAACTCTGTGGTGTGTTCCAACAGTTCAGTTGCATTCGCCATCGCACGAGTCGTGGTGTCAATGTTGTGTGTCTACCCCCTACTGGCTTCGTGTGGTACTGAGGCTTCTTGCCATGGTCAGCAGCTCTGTTGTCCCAATCAACAGGTGTTTTATAGTATTTTGTCTCAGCCTGCATGCATTGCCACCAAATTTTATGGATTTCCATCGACCTCAGAGCTTCTCATCTTAAATATGCTCGGGGGAAAATTAAAGATTTGAGTGTGGTGGACTGCATAATGATAAACAAACGAGAAAACAACATTGCACAATTTCCCACTAAACACAAGCTACTCCTGCTGAGATACTCTTATATCTCGTAACCTGTACGTGCAAAACAACAAAACTAGGACTTACGACAACCAAAAGTCACAACACGCAGTAAGTAATAATGATGATATCGCGCCCTCCTGCATACCGGTCCGTCTCAAGAGTGCCTTACATCGCATCGCATCTGAACACATTTGAAAGGGCACCCCCAGTGGCAGCTATCTTTGTGCGGCACAAGGGGGCTTGACGCCTGGTCTGCAAAGAGACACGAGTCTGCCAGGAGGAGGCCATGACTGCTGTGCGTAATCCCAAAGAGGAAATGGGATTACATTCCGCAAAAGAAAACGAGCATCATGAAGGGCATTTTTAACTGGCTAGCAGCTGCAACATACTATTCACACACCAGAATGTGCAGTGCGTCAATAATATCAAAAGATATAATGCGCACGGTGACTTATGGAATTATGTCGAGAAGGACCGATGCATCCCGAGCGGGCGCGGCGTTGTGCAAAAAGCGAATGGAACCCACACAACAAAGTAGCGCCTCCCACAACGCGCTTTGTCGGTGTAACTCGAACATCTTACAACTAAACGGATGCTGAATGACGTGTAGTACTGCGATGGCACAACATGTCACAGTCGGCTCACGGTTTGTAGAGAAAGCGAATGATTAAGTTTGATGAATGTACGTATATGTCGAACGTCTTTGGCGTCGTACGTAGCCAACCGTGCTGATCGGAGGTGCGGGGGGAAGGACAACAAACTAAACACAAAAAGCAGTGCACAGTCTCGTCACGTGTCCAGCGAAATGCAGTGACCTCAGCGAAATGCAGTGACCTCTGGCCACAGTCAGGAGGAAACATCTACGTTCTCTCCAGGGTCTCCGTGTTTCCCCGTCACTGACGGTGGCACTGGGGGCTCTGCATTCTCAGCTGCTGCTCCTCCGAGCGTGCAGCGGTCACAACTTGCCGCGGGATTGTGAACCTGAAACCTGCACTATTGTAACGAAGCTAACAACAGCAACACAATCGCTTTTAGCAAAATGTGTGTTCACTGCAATGTGTTATGCAAATGTAGTTTTTCAAATGTCCAAATATCTCATCAGATCTCAGAAGCTAAGCTTGGTTGAGCCTGGATACTTCTCGAATGGGTTCCAACTTTGTCGTGACAGTTTTTTTTATTGACTTGGTTATGTAACCAGCAGAAGGCAGTGCAGAAAATCACCTGTTATATTTTACTGTACTGTACTTCTATACTCACGCGTCTATGGTCCCCATCTGTCACGAATACGCACTGATAAATATGGTGACATATGGTCAAATCATCCCCACAACCCACTTGGCGGTGAAGTATGGTCAAATAATCCCCACAATCCACTTGGCGGTGAAGTATGGTCAAGTCATCCCCACAATCCACTTGGCGGTGAAGTATGGTCAAATCATCCCCACAAACCCACTTGGCGGTGGGAGGTCCTCATCCAGCAATGGAATGACAAAAGGGCTGCACATGCACACATACTGTGCTTAGCAATCCAACCTGTGGGCAGAAATGTTACTTGCAGTTACTAGGAGGGTGGCCAGGGCTACAACCCACAACTCATGGGTTGTAGGCAGTGGCCAAGGCGAATGTGCAGTAAAACCTGTGGCTAAGCTCAACAACTGGACCTGGCTGGCTGTGTGTGTGTACGCCCGAGCGGTGGTGAACCCAGTTCCATGCCTGCTCAGGGGCACCAACACTGGTGACGATTATCGGAACCGGTCCTGGGCCTCACGTGAGTATCTGGTGCGGTGTGTAAACATCGCCACTGGGGAGATAAAGGCGTCTGGGCGTGGTGCTGGCCACCCACCCCCGTGTGTGCTGTACTGGCCTTCATAGCTGCTGCTACTCACTAACAGCACTTGCTCCTACGGTCTGTTAGAGGATACACGGGGGATCTTTGTCTTTGTATACTCCCAGCACACACAGCAGGAATGGTAAGAGAGCCGAGAGAACGGAATGTTAAAGGTATACAAGGACTGAGAAAAGTTAAATTATATGAATGCTTCTCTACTCACGACCGCATAGGTTCACTAAATAATAATAAACAAGATAAAGTATTTTCTCTTTGCGGGGTAAGGCTGTTGATGTTTTGGTTGACTGGTCTCAGGGAATAGCCATTCTCATGCCAACGATAGCCAACGCGTTCATTTTAAAACATCAAATATTTTGTCCTTTGATTTGCAAGGCTTTAAAGAAATATATTTTAAAGTTAAATGGTTTGCAATTTTAATGGGAACTGTACGAAGTATAAGTTATATGTGTTCTGTGTACACCAAGGAACAATTTTATAATCTTCAATTAAACATTGGAATACCTCTGAGTTTGAGTGATTTTGGCGCAAACAATAACCCAAACTGTTCTGCACTTAATTCAAGATGGGATTGCACATTAAAGGTTTAAAGAAAGACGCAAACCAAAACTGAAATATTTTACCTTGCAGGTGCAAACCTAGGCTGCCTATTATGGGCTTTAAGGGAGTCTGAAGCTTCCAATTCTAAGAGAGCTAATTGCGAGTCAGGGCCATGTGACCGCCAGACACAGGGCCACAGCGCCCTCTAAGGTGGTCACCGTTACACACGAGGAGAGAGCGCCACCACCCCAGGCATGCCACGGGGCTGTGCGGTGGGAGCACCTCCAGTCTATGAGGCCCAGCACGGAGGGGAATTAAAAAACCTGAAAAGGTAGCACTATCCTCATCATCATCCAGTAGCTATTCACTACTGGATGAAGGCCTTCCCAAGCCATGCCCCCCCCCCCCCCCCCCCCTTCACTCCGTTTAAACTGTACATTGCTGTCAATTAATGTTTTGTTCACATTATAAAATGTCAACCAATTTGGGGTTTTGTGCATTGCGTTTTCCTTTAAATTAACTGCGGAGGGTGTCTTTCGATGCTATGTGGCGCCCGCCTCTCGTTAAGGATTCCGACAAACGCTGAACGCGTCCACGTGCTCAGTGCAGCCAGACGTCGCCTGCAACGAGCGAGCGTTCTCCACAAACCAGCCCCGCGCCCTCAGCAGGGGCAACTTCACTTCGCGTGGAGCCCAGCCAGGTCCTGAGGCCCCCCGAGGCCCAGTGAGACCCCGAGGCCCAGTGAGACCTCGAGGCCCCCCAAGGCCCAATGAGACCCCGAGGCCCAGTGAGACCCCGAGGCCCAGTGAGACCTCGAGGCTCCCCCGAGGCCCAGTGAGACCCCGAGGCCCAGTGAGACCCCGAGGCCTAGTGAGACCTCGAGGCCCCCCAAGGCCCAGTGAGACCCCGAGGCCCAGTGAGACCCAGAGGCCCAGTGAGACATCGAGGCCCAGTGAGACCTCGAGGCCCAGTGAGACCTCGAGGCCCCCCAAGGCCCAGTGAGACCCCAAGGCCCAGTGAGACCTCGAGGCCCAGTGAGACCTCGAGGCTCAGTGAGACCTCGAGGCCCCCCGGAGGCCCAGTGAGACCCCGAGGCCCAGTGAGACCTCGAGTCCCAGTGAGACCCCGAGTCCCAATGAGACCTCGAGTCCCAGTGAGACCCTGAGTCCCAGTGAGACCCTGAGTCGTAGTGAGACCCTGAGTCCCAGTGAGACCCTGAGGCCCAGTGAGACCCTGAGTCCCAGTGAGACCCTGAGTCCCAGTGAGACATCGAGGCACAGTGAGACCCAGAGTCCCAGTGAGACTCTGAGTCCCAGTTAGACCCTGAGTCCCAGTGAGACCCTGAGTCCCAGTGAGACCCTGAGGCCCAGTGAGACCCTGAGTCCTAGTGAGACCCTGAGTCCTAGTGCGACCCTGAGTCCCAGTGAGACCTCGAGGCCCAGTGAGACCCTGAGTCCTAGTGAGACCCTGAGTCCTAGTGAGACCCTGAGTCCCAGTGAGACCTCGAGGCCCAGTGAGACCCTGAGTCCCAGTGAGACCCTGAGTCCCAGTGAGACCTCGAGGCCCAGTGAGACCCTGAGTCCCAGTGAGACCCTGAGTCCCAGTGAGACCCTGAGTCCCAGTGAGACCCCGAGTCCCAGTGAGACCCCGAGTCCCAGTGAGACCTCGAGTCCTAGTGAGACCCTGAGTCCTAGTGAGACCCTGAGTCCCAGTGAGACCTCGATGCCCAGTGAGACCCTGAGTCCCAGTGAGACCCTGAGTCCCAGTGAGACCCTGAATCCCAGTGAGACCCTGAGTCCCAGTGAGACCCTGAGTCCTAGTGAGACCCTGAGTCCCAGTGAGACCCTGAGTCCCAGTGAGACCCTGAGTCCCAGTGAGACCCCCTGAGGCCCAGTTAGACCCTGAGGCCCCCCGAGGCCCAGTTAGACCCTGAGGCCCCCCGAGGCCCAGTTAGACCCTGAGGCCTACAGGAGGCCCCGGCCCCCGAGGCCTGCAGGCACCTATCTCTGGCGGTCGGAGACGCCGTCCAACTCGGCGTCGCTGTCGCTGTCGCTGAGGCTGCAGGGCCCGTCCCCCGCGGGCTGCACGGGCTGCAGGCTCTCGGAGAGACGGCCACTGGGGATGACGACGTAGCGCGCGGTCACTGTGCGCGGAGCCGGCTCCCGCAGCCGCTCCTTGCTGTGCCACATCCCGTACGACAGGTAGATGAACATGCCTGAACACACACAAACAAAGATCCCACATGTAGGGGCAAATGCTGTTAGCGTGCAGCCACAAAGGTCGGCACGACACACAAGGGGGTCATGTGGCTGTCTCATTCATGCTGTCTGTTGGATCTCGTTTTTACAGTCTGTCACTCCTGTACTGTGAGTCTCATTTCTATGGTCTCATTTGTATTGTCTCATCTGAATTCCCCTGTGCTTGTGTAGTGGGTTCGAATTAGGTGCCCACACGACTCCTTGGGAGGCAACACTTATTTATTAGAACGGTAAGTAATATAACACTGTACATAAGGTGGTGACCACCGACCTACTCTAGCTAACACACTCAACTTCTCAGATGCTCTAGTGTGACCCAGCCAGGTGGGCTACTGGCAGGTCCGCTGACTGGAGGCTTGACTCTTCTTGGCGTCTTCACGATGCATCTTCGTTCTTAATACGGGCAGGCTCGAACCTCGTGAGGAGGCTGCTTATATGGGCCTCAGCGTGCCCCGGCCCCGCCCCGGCCACGCCTCCCTTCGAGAACCCTCTCGAAGCCCCCGCCTGCTGTCCACGTGCCCCCCGAGGTGCCCTCTAGGCCCCCGGCCCCCACTGGGGTCCAGTCACGTGTCAAGCCGGGGTCACAGAGAGTGCCACGGCCTCACACCACCCTCGTGGCCTCCCGAGTCCAGAACCGGCCCTGACGTCATTCCCGCCTCCAGCCGGGATGACGTCATGTGTGTGTGTAGACCCGCGTGGTCTTGACGCTCCCCCACATAGTGACGTCACGCTTGTGCGTGTGTACACAGTAGTGATGCTACCATCACTACACTTGTATTCTCAAGTGTCCTACCTTGGCTGTACTTGCTCTCGTTTGTACTGTCTAATTTTTTCCAGCTGTTAAGTTAATCGAATCATTTGCATAAACTTTGAATAAGGGTAATTGATTGCTATTCAAACAATAAATACATTCTGACAATAATCGCCTGGAATTGATGAAGCATTTAATAATAATTAAATATTTTTGTTCATTAGGTATTTGCACCATTCTTCTAGCACAAGGCCATCACGAAGGCACAAGGTTTCAAACAAGTAGATTGCAGTAGTTTCACAGTAAGGTGTTGATATTGCTGTGCGTAATCCCAATTGAATAATTTGCAGGCAATTTTTCAAATTTTGTAAATTTGTACCGAAGAAAACGGCGCCTATATTTCAGTTAAATACATCTGTAGTAATATACGGGGCAGCCTGCGGGATTCGAACTTCTGCATTGAGCGGCGACCACACTACTGCCGCGCCCCAATGCACGCGTCCATCGCTGCCACTGGTGGCTGGCACTGGAACTCACCGACAACGATCCACACCATGAAGCGCACCCACGTCATGTAGTTGAGCTTCAGCATCAGGGTGATGTTGATGAGCATGCTCAGGGCCGGCAGGAATGGCACACACGGAACCTGCAGTCCCACACAGTGTTAAGTCTCAATGAGATCACGCGGGGAAGACTCTGGGCCTCAGTCGTTCTCCACAAGACAGTTGATGGCGTGTGCCTGTCACTTCACGCTTTGAATATATAACACGCTTGTTCACGAGTGCAGTGAAAGCTCTGCTGCCGTTAAAGCCGCTGCGTGAATCACGCATGACAGGCACCCACCAAGAAGGTAGTGGGACCGCGATTCTGCTCATGAGCGGCAATGAGCATCACGCTGACGAGGAAGCCCAGGCCGAAGATGGAGAGGAAGAGCGCGAAGGCCCACGTCGGCAGGTGAAGGTGCGAGGAGCCAAACACGAGCATGGAGGCGAGCGAGGTGGCGCACACGAGCAGCGCCACCACGCACACCACCACCGCCTCGCCCGGGCCGCACGGCGCCAGCACCCGCAGAAGACACTCAAACCTAGCGCCAGCGAATACATCCGTCACTACAGCATCACTCACGGCAGTCAAAGCCAATGTCATTTCCAGCTGGAGCGAGCATCGAGAGGCAGTGGTCATCTCCCGTTTACAGCCCTGAGCCAGTGGTGGATTTTACACATTCCTAAATAACAATTTTGAATCGTTTAGACTTCTTGGATTTTATTCCGACTCCCTCGATCTAGTTCTGAAGATGCTCGGCGTCGTTCGACAAAACGTTGTATCTGATGGATAAATTTGGTTATGAGAATCGTTCTTCAACTTACTGGTGAGCTGAAATTATGATTGGTGTGATAAATACTTCTACACGTGACAATTTGTTTGGCTGTGTTGGGTGGTGGAGGGTCTTACGACCAAATCTTGCCAGATCATTACGTGGCTAAACCCAAAAATCTATGACGAAGAACAATGAGGCGGAGGTAGCGGTTGCGGGCAGCTTGGTCGTTCGGCGGCGTCGGAGTACCTGGCCTTGAGGCAGCCAGCCTGCCGCGCCTCTGTTTCTCCCCGCTGCTTCCCCACGAGACGCAGCTTGTCCGAGAACGACTCGTAGCCGGCCGTGTCACGCCGCTCGCCTTCCTTGTCCGGCGAGATGTCCAGGAACTCGCTCTGCGGGCACGGCATGGTGGGGTGCGGTCATTGCCTGCTCTGCTCTCTATCCCAGGGCAGTTTATCCACCGTTGACTTCCCATACAGTGGAGCTCAGTTCATTGGCTCTGCAATGATGATGGGCCGAATTGACCTCTAACAAGGATTTGAACTCACAACCTCTCATCACTCTCCTATGCCTGTCAGTAGCTGTCTTGTGGCTTTGATCACATTGCACAGCTGCTTACTCACAGCTCTTATCCAGTGCCTTGTAATAAAGAATTGAGACATGTAAATGTAGCGTGAAGAGGAAGCATGGACGTGAACAAGGATATGGGATTGAAAGTGCGAAAGACCAGGGGGAAAAGGCGCAACCTCTGAGCGGAGTATGACTGAGGGGATTGGGAGAAGGAAGTGGTTCTCTGTAACAGACAGAGGGCATGCAGAGGAGAGTGAAGTGAGATGAAGAGGTAGACTAGGGTGGGACCACCTGAAGACGGTGGGGTGATTTTGGAATTGATCTGGGAATAATTATCTTGTGCCTCAGCTGTACATCATTTCCATTGTTCCCTCCAACTGCCCCAATAGCTTCTCTCTCATTTTTCCCAATGACGCACAGGCGCTAAGTACCGAATAATAGCGCAAAACAAGAGTGAAATAGGATATCGCTTGTGCACGGGGTAGCACCGCTCCCTCCCCGCCCCCCATGGCGTACGCGGGGCGCTGGCGGCACGCACCTGCAAGGTGCGGTCGGGCTGGTAGCGCAGCACAATGACGCTCGCCGCTACAAAGGTGTACGCCAGCAGCGTGCCGATGGACAGGAACTGCACGAGCGCCTCCAGGTCGAACAGCGTGGCCAGCACGGCCGTCAGTGTGCCGAACACCACGATGGCGTTGACGGGAACCTTGGTGACGGCGTGCAGGTGAGAGAAGACGGAGAAGAAGAGCCCGTCGTCGGCCATCGCGTAGATGATGCGCGGCAACGAGAAGAGGCTGCTCAGCAGGACGGTGTTCATCGCTGGAGGGGGGAGGGGGGGGGGAGACGCGGCCCATCACGGACGTTAGGCGGACAAGTTGCACTCACAGCGGCCACTGTTAAAACGGTCAGGGGAGCGGTGGGCCTTCTCTGCTGGAGGCCCCAAGGAAGTGCTAGAAATGTCACATTCCTATGAAACGGTGACACGGGGTTGATACTCCTGGCGGGGGAGAGAGCTGGGAGTTGGGTAGAGTTTATATTTTCCACTGGGAACCAATGTTCTTCACGAGATATGCACCTTTCATCTTCCTGTTGTCCTTCCCCCACACTTCCGATTAGCCCGGTTGGCTGTGTACGGCACGAAAGACGTTCAACAGACGTACATTTGCCCTCCACCTTGTGATGTAAATGCGGCGTATAATGCAATGGTTCTGAGATACTATTGTATGATGATGCTACATGAAATTAAATTAATTATATTACAACTTCAAATTAGGCTTCAAATTTACATTTCCCAGCCGACCAGGCAGGGAATTACCGTTTAGTGCAGGGAGGAGGGCACGGGAAACCAATCAATCAAGCTGACACAGTGAAATGGCTTTCATGCAAAAATGCAAGTGTACGGCATTTTCTGCAGAAAATTCCTGCCTAAATTCTTCAAAACAAGCGGGCACACTGCATATATGAATGCGATATGTGGTTGCATATAGATGCTTTATGAATGCAAACTGATTTGTAACTGTACACACCACATGTTCACGTGCATCCTAGAACACGGCCCAATAGAACGTTCAAACAGACACGATCGCATATACAAAGACAAAGATCCCCCGTATAGCCTGTAACAGACTGTTAGGGCAAGTGCTGTTAGCAAGCACCTATGAAGGTCGGCACGGCACACGAGGGGTGGGTGGCCAGCACCACGCCCGAACGCCTTTGTCTCCCTAGTGGCGATGTTTACACACATCATCAGGTACTTATTTGAGGCTAAGTCGACCTAGGGGAGGCCCAGGACCAGTTTAGATATTCGTCACTGGTGTTGAACGTGAGCGGAAATCGAACTCGGGTCGCTGGGTTCGTATTGCAGCGTAGCGCTAACCGCTCCACCACCACTAACACATATCCACGCGGCATTATCGGGGTCTCACGGGAAGGTTGGCTAAAGATGGAATTTCTTATTTTAAAAAAATTGGCGAAAACAGCAAAGTCGGCAAGTTCCAATCACGACATTGTTGAATCCTTGTTGAAAAGGTCAGTTTATTTGAGCTATCCTTAATCAGCTGCAAGTTGTCCAATTAAATGAGCGACACAGTCCATTGTTGAGCTGAGCAGCAATGACAACAGTGTGAAAGGTCAAGCGCTGCGTTTGTTTGCTTTGAGATGAGAGCATTAAGAGGGCATCCATTGAGTAGGTACGAAAAATCTGTCAAAACTTGACCTCTCGCACCCTCCCTGTACGCACGCGTACCTTTTACACCTCCCCCCCACCTGCGTACGTACGTTCGCCTGACACACCCCCCCCCCGAATCCTATAGAACGGCCGTGCTAGGTGTGCAGTGCTGAAGGGGTGCTGCAGCAGCCTCACCGCATATGGAGCCGGTGGAGACGATGAAGCCGGCCCACGGGTGCCCCCGGCGGGAGAAGGCATCTGACAGCGCCGACTCGGGCACCAGCGAGTGCCAGGGCACCATGAGCGTGAGCACCGTGGCCACCAGGGTGTAGGCCAGCGTGGCGAGGACCAGCGACAGCGCCGTGGCCACCGGAACGGAGCGAGATGGGTCCCGAGCCTCCTCGCTCGATGACGCGATCACGTCGAAGCCGACAAACGCAAAGAAGCACGTGGCCGTCCCCGTCATGATGCCCGAGAATCCGTACGGAGCGAAGCCGCCCTCCTTTTTGCTGTAGTTCTGCGGATCGGCCAGTGTGAAGCCGAACACGAGGATGAAAAGGATGGCCCCCATGCTGATGACGGCGAACAGGTGGTTGATCCAAGAGGATACTTTGGTGCCAAAGGAAACCAAAATTGTTGCGATAAACAGAATCCCGCAGGCGAGGAAGTCGGGGTAGTGGGCAAGGAACGGCACGTCCCAGGAGGCGACGTGGGTGAGGGTGAAGTTCTGGATCTTGTGCTCGAAGATGGCGTCGAAGTAGCCGCTCCAGGCGCGCGCCACGGCTGCGCCGCCGATCATGTACTCAAGCACGACGTTCCAGCCGATCATGAAGGCCCACACCTCGCCCATGGTCATGTACGTGTAGAGGTACGCCGAACCGGCCCGCGGCGCCCGCGCTCCGAACTCCGCGTAGCACAGCGCCGCCAGCATGGAGGCCAGGCCGGCCAACAGGAACGAGATGATGACCGCCGGGCCCGCCATCGACTTGGCCACGGTGCCCGTGAGCACGTAGAGGCCCGAGCCCACCATGCCTCCGAGACCGAGCAGCGTGAGGTCGAGCGTGGAAAGGCAGCGCGTGAGCGACGTCTCCATGAGGTCGGCGTCGAGGGTCTTGGTACGCGCCATGCGCTGACACGTGCGCACCACTCCCTCCCACGGGGCCCACCGCGAGCTCATGGCTCCTTCCGGCTCCTCCCGGCACCGCGGCGGACGGCAGCTCACAGATCCCACAGCCTACAGGAGCGCAGCGGCACCAGCGAGAGGCATTCCTAGGGAACACAACACGCGGTGATTTCCCGGTCAAATGAGCACGGGGTAGTGCTCATCGACTGGTTTCAGCCCTGAACCAGTGGGGAATTCGATTGCTGTGGTAGGGATCGATACATTAGACAGCCACTGTTGACAACAGTCAGCTGTGAAATGCCTTGCCCAGGCGTTCTAAACACTGATTATGTCAGCCTCCTCTGAACTTCCTTGATAAGGGCAAGGGCTCTTCTAATTGGACAGTGTTGTTTTTGTGTCGTCGGCTTCGATGGGCGGGGGGTTATTCAACAAAAGGACTGCACTGCTCTTTGCTATGGACCCCTAATTTTCACTTCTACAAACCCATTGGCATTTTACAACTCCCTCGATGACTGCCACAGACTCCCTGTTGGCAGCATTTGCCTTTACAAGCATCGTTATACCGGAATCTAGATTTGCGACAGATTGGTATACTGTACTGGTATTGATTCGCGACACACTGGAATAGTGGTATTGATTCACAACACGCCGGCGTAGTAGGACGTGTGCAAGCTTGAACTAATTTACACAAACGCCAATAATACTCTCACCGTAGACTCACATCCAAGTCCTTCTTTGCCGTGCTACCACCAATAAATTCACAACACGTTTACAAAAATGGTCCAGAAGGCACATTGCTCTGATGATTTGTCTGGATAAACAGACCCCTTGCCTGATTATTCACAAACACTGTGCACGGCACATGCACCGGGCCAATCGTGAACGCGCACACAGCGACTAGCACCCACGTGCGGCACTGGGTCTGTGCGCGCTGCACCGATGGCTGCCGCTTGCTGCCGCGGCATTAAACATTAAAGAGCAGCGATCACAGCAGGCGGAGCGCGTGGCAGGGCTCTCCCTCCCAGCCTGCTTCCCTTCCTTGCTCTCTGCACGATCTCTGCTCATCCCTGCTCCCATCTGCCCCCCTGTTTATTCCGTGTTAGCATCTCTCTTAATGTCATCTCTTCTCCCATCTGTATCATCGCTTCTCCACGATGACGTCTTTTTTTTCTCACTTGCTGCTGCAGTGCCCACGTCTGTAACGTCTGACAGAAGAAAAAAAATAACGACCCTCCCGGCTCCAGCATGTCTGCTGGAGACACCGCCACACGAATGTGATAAGTCTACGCCACTGCACGCTGCGCTGCCTCGTGCGTTGCCGTGCTGCCTGCCTCGTGTGATGTGAAGCGAGCCGGAGTTCGTACCGAGCACCCAGAGCCAATGCCTCCCTCGCCTTGTGGGCCCACCGGGGCAAGGCGTGGCGGCGAGCGTTTGATTTCGCCTCCTGTGCACCGCCGATGGCCTCGATCAGCAAGCACCGCAGCTTTCCACTCACCGCAGGCGGATATCAACAACAACAACTTGCCTGCAGGTGGATACAACAACCAACAACGAACACAAGTCACAATTGTACCACCCCGAGACACACGAGCACCGCAATGATCAAAATTACAACCACAACAACCGCACATGCAACCACAATGCCCAAAATGTTGATGTGATCGCACGATAATCAGTACACTAAAACCACAACCACATGATGATTAATTTACAATCACGGTCCAGTAGTTACAGCCATGATTAAGCACAGGTCACAAAGTGACACGTACACACGATGGTTGACACACGCAAACTCAGTGGAACATGCACACATTGTTGTGGAACTGCCAACGACACAGGCACACAGTGACACACAGTGAGGCTGACACATTCACGCAATGACACAACAACGGAGATCCCCCGTGTAGTCTTAACAGACTGTTGGGGCAAGTGCTGTTAGCGAGCAGCCAACATGGTACACGAGGGGGTGGGTAGCCAACACCACGCCTGACCGCCTTTGTCTCCCCAGTGGCGATGTTTTACACATCGCACCAGGTGCTCATTTGAAGCTGAGTTGATCTAGGGGAGGCCCAGGACCGGTTCAGATAATCGTCACCGGTGTTGGCCGTGAGCAGGAATCGAACTCGGGTTGCCGGGTTCATAGCGCAGCGCGCTACCGCTTCACAGTGACACACACTGACACACACACAGACAGTGACACACACTGACACACACAGACAGTGACACACTGACACACACAGACACACACAGACAGTGACACACACTGGCACACACACACAGACAGTGACACACACTGACACACACAGAGTGACAAACACTGACACACACAGACAGTGACACAGTGACACACACTGACACACTCAGAGTGACAAACACTGACACACACACAGACAGTGACACACACTGACACACACACACAGAGTGACAAACACTGACACATACAATGACACAGTGACGCACACTGACACACGCAGAGTGACAAACACTGACACACACAGACAGTGACACACACTGACACACTCAGAGTGACAAACACTGACACACACAGACACACAGTGACAAACATTGACACACACAGACAGTGACACACTGACAGTGACACACACAGTGACACACACAGACACACACAGACAGTGACACAGTGACACACACAGTGACACACACAGTCACAGACACAGTGACATACACAGTCACAGACACAGTGACACACACAGACTGCCACACTGACAGTGACACACACAGTGACAGTGACACACACAGTGACACACAGTGACACACACTGACACACACAGTGATACACACAGTGGCACACTGACACACACAGTGACACACACAGTGACACACACAGTGACACATACAGTGACACACTGACACACACAGTGACACACTGATACACAGTGACACACACAGTGACACACACAGACACACACAGTGACACACAGTGACACACACTGACACACACAGTGACACACTGACACAGACACTGACACAAAATGACACACACAGTGACACACACACACAGTGACACAAAGTGACACACACTGACACACACAGTGACACACAATGACACACTGACACAGACACTGACACAAAATGACACACACTGTGACACAGTGACACACACACACAGTGACACACAGTGACACACACTGACACACACAGTGACACACAGTGACACACACAGACACTGACACTGACAGTGACACGCACAGTCACAGACACAGTGACACACACAGACAGTGACACACTGACAGTGACACACACAGTGACACACACAGACACAGTGACATACACAGTCACAGATAGTGACAGTGACACACAGTGACACACACAGTCACAGACACAGTGACATACACAGTCACAGACACAGTGACACACACAGACTGCCACACTGACAGTGACACACACAGTCACATACACAGTGGCACACTGACAGTGACACACTGACACACACAGTGACACGCTGACAGTGACACACTTACACACACAGTGACACACTGACACACACTGTGACAAAGTGACACACACTTACACACAGTGACACACTGACACACACAGTGACACACTGACACACACAGTGACACACATTGACAACAACAACCGCCATTCGCCATTAAGTGGCGGTGACGTCACCACGACGCTTGTGCCAGGCCATGTGCACCTTGAGGCCACGTGAAGTGTCGAACGCCCGCGGGCAGGAGGTCACGGGGCAGACCCAGGTGCCACGGGTCGACTGAGATGACTGGCTGGTGCACCACCTGTGCCCCCTACTGTGCCAACCTGCTGTGCTTTAGCCACCCGGCGCTCCGCTCATTGTTGTGAGCGTCGCTCTCCGCCCTCCGTTGTTGTTGGAGGGCGACTGCCTCCAACTGCCCAAGAGCGTCCTTCACGAGCCTCCTCCACAGAGGCCGATCTTGACACCGCTGGTACCAGTCATTGGCAAGTCCACTCAGCTCCACGTCCTCCTGTACCACATCACTCCATCTCTTCTCTAGCCCGTGCCGTGCCCGTTTAGCCCCCTCGATCCGGCCGAACAAAAGCTGTTTTGGCATGCGGTGGCTGGGCATGCGGGCTACATGACCCAGCCAACAAAGCCTTGCCTGCCGAAGGAGCTCACCGATGGGACCTTGCCCAGATCTTTCCAGGATATGTGAGCTCCTCACACAATCCAGCCTGGTTAAACCCAGGATGGATCGTAGGCAGGCCAGCCTAAATGTTTCCAACCGGCGAAGATGCTCCATTAAGGTGGTCCATGTTTCGCAAGCGTAGAGAAGGGAGGGAATGACCGTGGCCGAGAAGACCTGAAGCTTAGTGCGGAGCGACAGGCCAGGTAGCTTCCACACAGCGTTACGCAACCGATGAAAAGATATTGCTGCTCGACTGATTCGGAGTGAGACCTCTGCTGTTAAACTGGAGCCGGTCATAAGCACACTGCCCAGGTATGGGAAACTCTCCACTCTCTCCACAACTGCCCCAGCACCGATTGGGAGTTGTGGGGGTGGAGTGTCCGATGGTACAAAATACCCAGGCAGGTGCTTAGTTTTGGTGGCGCTGATGGTAAGGCCCCATCTCTTAGTGGCACGCTCCAGTCTCAGCAGCAGCGTCTCCAACTCCTCCTCTGACGAGCAGCTATTACCAAATCATCGGCATACATAACGTGGTTGAGCAATAGGGAGCCATCCCTTGACCGCACCCGGGCATCGATCAGCCTCCCATTATATCTGTACCAAATGGAGATTCCCCCGGTACAGCTATTGAAGGCTTCACGAACTACGTGGTCAAAATAGATGTTAAATAATGTGGAAGCCAGAGGACATCCCTGTCGCACCCCAAGGTGTACAGGGAATGGCTCTGACTCCCGGCCACGTAGTTTTACCCGGGCCCGCTCACCATCATGAAGGTCCTTAATGATCGTGAGCAGAGGGTCAGGGACTCCAAAAGCACAAAGAACAACCCAGAGCCCAGGCCTACTGATGGCATCATAGGCCTTGACCAGGTCAATAAAGCAGAGATGTAGGTCTTGTTGGAATTCCCTACACCTCTGCTGTAGCAGACGGACAGAAAATATGGCATCTGTGCAGGACCGCCCTTTTCTGAAACCGCATTGGGGCTCCGCAAGCCTCTCGTCAGCGTGCCTGGCGAGGCGATGTTGAATAATCCTTGCCAGGACCTTTCCCGGAACACTGAGGAGTGAGATGCCCCTGTAGTTGTTACAGTCTGTGTGGTCCCCCTTCTTAAAGAGGGGGACCACCAGGGCATCCTTCCAATCCTGCAGAACCCGTCCAGTGGTCCAGACTGTTGTTATGATGTCATATAGGGCAGTCTGTGCACAAACGCCACCCTCCCTCAGCATTTCGCTTGGGAGATCATCTCTGCCCGCTGCCTTTCCTGGTCTCAGACTCCGGATTGCCTTCAGTACTTCCTCAACAGATGGTACTTCAGCCAGCCACTCTCAGGGGGTGACTTCTTCCAATATTTGAGGCACTGCAGCCTCAGTAGGGTCATCCTCACTTTGTGCCACTGTTTTCCTGGCTGAAGGATTTTCCCTCCGCCAGGACCTCACAGAAATGCTCAGCAAATCTGCAAACCTGTTCCTGGGGGACGGAGACTGGATCACCGTTTTTTCCCCTAATGATGGTAATAGGTGTGGCGCTGCAGGTTACTTTTTTGATGGAGTTAAATAGAGATTTGTGATCGCGGGCCACTGAGGCAAACTCCATCTCCTCAGCAACCCGCGACCACCACCCATCCTTGCAGCGCCTCACGGCTCTCCGAACCTCCGAGCGAAGGCTGCGGTAAGCCTCCTCATTCTCTGACGTGGGATTCTGTAGCCGATGACAGTGGGCCTGTCGCTTTTTCTCAACCATCCTGAACACCTCCTCTGTCAGCCAGGGTCTCTGGGGAGGTCTGGACCGCATACCCAAAGCAGCCATTGCAGCTGCACACTGACACACACAGTGACACACACTGACACACACAGTGACACACTGACACACACAGTGACACAGTGACACACACAGTGACGCACACAGTGACACACACAGTGACGCACACAGTGACACACACAGTGACGCACACAGTGACACACAGTGACACACACAGTGACACACAGTGACACACACAGTGACACACAGTGACACACTGACACACACAGTGACACACACAGTGACACATACAGTGACACACTGACACACACAGTGACACACTGATACACAGTGACACACACAGTGACACACACAGACACACACAGTGACACACAGTGACACACACTGACACACTGACATACACAGTGACACACTGATACACAGTGACACACACAGTGACACACATACACACAGTGACACAGTGACACACACTGACACACACAGTGACACACAATGACACACTGACACAGACACTGCCACAAAATGACACAGTGACACAGTGACACAAACACTCAGTGACACACACAGTGACACACACTGACACACACAGTGACACACACTGACACACACACTGACACACTGACACACACTGTGACACACTGACACACACTGTGACACACTGACACACACACACAGTGACACACACTGTGACACATACTGTGACACACCGTGACACACTGACACACTGACACACACTGTGACACACTGACGCACACTGTGACACATACTGTGACACACTGTGACACATACTGTGACACACAGTGACACACACTGTGACACACACTGTGACACACACTGTGACACATACTGTGACACAGTGACACATACTGTGACACACAGTGACACACACTGACACACACTGACACGCACAGTGACACACTGACACACACACAGTGACACACACAGTGACACACTGACACACACAGTGACACACACAGTGACACACAGTTACACACTGACACACACAGTGACACACTGACACACACACTGACACACACAGTGACACACAGTTACACACTGACACACACAGTGACACACTGACACACACTGACACACTGACACACACAGTGACACACTGACACACACAGTGACACACTGACACACACACTGACACACTGACACACACACAGTGACACACTGTGACACACAGTGACACACACACAGTGACACACTGACACACACAGTGACACACACACAGTGACACACTGACACACACACTGACACACACACACTGACACACACTGTGATACACACAGTGACACATACTGTGACACACACTGACACACACAGTGACACACACAGTGACACATACTGTGACACACTGACACACACACACAGTGACACACACACAGTGACATACGCGTGTTGTGACACACTGACACTGCCCACCGCTGTTGCAGGGTTCACCAGGGAGGGACCGGAGATCCTCGCCTCACTGCCCGCGCCTCGCCACGTGATTTTAAAAACGCGTTCACAACGACGCGGCGCGGCACGCGCGGCCACCGTCCCCGCACGTCACCGCTCATCCAACGAGCCAGCTCATCGGCTGCTCAAACTGACGTCGTGACGTCATGCAGAACGTGTTGCACTTCGGGTGCGTGACATCACGCGGGGTGTCTTCGCTGGACGCGCGCGACGTCAAACTGTTTATATTCACGTGAGATTCGTGACACGCGGATTGCAGTCGCGTCACGTCATGCTGATGATATTCACTGTGCGATGTGCATTTTCAAACGGTGCAAGTGACGTCATGCTGATATTCGCTGTGCGGTGTCGTGCATGTTCAAACGATGCACGTGACGTCATGCAGAGTATGTTCTAATTAGATGTGTGCGGTGACGTAATGGTCCAGCGCAGGAGTCGGCGTCTGCGGCTGCTGCCGCCGGGCGACGCCAGTGAGAGCGACCGAGCACAATGGCCGTGCGAGAAGGGAGAGTACGCCTCAGGATGCACTCCGCTCAGCGCTCTTAGCGGGGGGCGCTGTGCGTGACCCGCAACAGCGACAACTCGCGCGCAAGCTCTCGGCGTTGGGACGTCTCTGTGGGCGTGTGAAGCTGGCGGGAGGGAGGAGACGGGGAGAGGACTGCAGAAACTTCACGCCGAGAGGCGTCCGAGTCAGGCACCGAATCCAGGTGCTTCTTGCCGTGAGGCACAAGTGTCACCACGACGCCACCCTGCCGCTCCTTCTGTTCCACTTGTTAATCAGACGCTGCAGAGGTTCCTCTCCGGCTGCACTTCGCAGGGTTAACACAGCTTGGCAGTGCACCTCGTGCAAGTGGCAGAGTCGACATTGAGCCAATTGCCCTGACGTGCTGTCCGTGGTTATGCCCAGATCCAGTGTTAGTGTCTTAATAACGAGTGTGTAAATTTTGATTTAAAGCTTTCGTGACTGCAGGTATTCATATTCTTGGTTCTTTCGGTAAAGTCACCACGTAGAAGGGAAACAATAAAATAATAAAAATATAAAACAATAAAATTCTCACGACGTTTCGACTGCAACACAAGCAATCATCATCAGGTGTGAAAACCACAACAAGAATGTAACACTACTTAACATTGTTGTATGCATTAGCTTACCTTATTACAGACCAATTCAGACCGTATTGCTCACCCCACGCCCCTATAAATCTCAACGTTCACCCTACAAAGTCCCATCACATGGGCGAAACACAAACAAATAGACATTATTTTGTTGCCCGTATTGAAACAGCTGTACGCCACATGAACCTGTAAACTCAATGTCCCTGTACAAGAATAGGGGTAAACCGTAGGGGTTAACAGCTATGCATTAGTCAACACGTCAAATTGAGGCACTGTAAACAATTACTGTGGAACACGTTGTTCCTCCACGTAATAGGACTGCCAGAATGAAAATGCAATCATTGCTTGCTGTTGAATAAAACAAGATTAATCCTGCGTGGATTAGAAATTGCAGTGTTTTGAGATAGTAACCTGTTCTACATTCTTTTACTAAATCTGTTTCACCAAGTTGATTTTCTGTCATGTAAAGAGGGTCAATGTCTCATTGCAATAATATAATTATATAGTCATAAAAATACTCTTAGCATACATTCTAAAATATATTATTGTGTTTATAACAGCAGTTTACATACATGGAGGGGAAACGCCAAGGTTTATGGTATTAACAGATTATTAAACTTATTCAATTTCCTGTCCATCTCATAGTACAGCATTACCCCAATTTACGTCTCCCTCTATTACGTCGTCTCGCAAATACGTCGTCATGTTATTATGAATACCACGACCCGATTTGCATCGCCTCAACCCCACACATGTCGCCGATGGCATCGTCCATCCGCCCTCGTTGTCCGTCGCCTCCACCACCACCCACCACCACCACCACCCACCACTACCACCCACCACCACCACTACCCACCACTCACCACCACCACCCACCACTACCCACCACCCACCACTACCCACCACCACCCACCCATCACCACCCACCACCACCACTCACCACTACCCACCACCACCCACCACCACCCACCATCACCACCCACACCACCACCCACCACCACCCACCACTACCCACCACCACCCACCCACCACCACCCACCACTACCCACCACCACTACCCACCACTACCCACCACCACCCACCACTACCCACCATCACCACCCACCACTACCCCTGTACGTCGCTGTGATTGACGTTTCGATATTCGTTGTCGCACTTTTCAGGAACGCATCCACGACGTAAGCCGGGGTATAAAACGTCTTAAATGTCAAAGATTGGGTTCTAAAAAATATAAAGCAGTCTCTTTACACATCATAGTCCACGACCGTGCACCGTGTGAATGCTCCCCAACACGCGCAGTGGCAATGCCAGTACAGGAACAGCGTGGATGTGCGTTGCATTATTACTTGAAGATTCACATTTTATTTGAGCTTCCAAAACATGCTCTTTCATTTGGTTAGTTTGTTACTGCAAATGTTAACATGCTGTAAACATCCGCAAGTTTCTTGATATGTCTCTTATACATCCGTGTTTTATGAAGATTGACCTTAAATGTCGTCTATTAAATAGTTTTCCTTTTAAGGTCACAGAGTTATTGACGACGGTGTCGCGTTGTTTATCGTGCTTGTGGAATACACTGCCGATGCAGCGTCACCAAATCGGTTGAATATTTTAGCTGTCGTTTCAACTGCACTGCAAACCCGCCTAGAAATGCATTGACAAAGACCCTCTCTGAGTGTGCTTTAGTTAAGCAGGCTCAGAGAGGATCTTTGTAACGTCAGTTTGCCATCCCAACAGGCACCTTCGTGGCAGATTTTTGACGTGTTTCTCATTCAAGGACATATCTCTCCTTCTCAATGACTTTCATGCTGTCTTTGTGTTATATTAGCCGAGTAATCGGTCCGTATCGCGTTCCCAGGGGGACGTGAGAGCTGTGGTCGGGTGGCTCCTGGGTCACAGCACTGAGTTGGCATTGCTGAGATTCTGGATTCAAACCCAGCTTCCAGCCACCAATTACTCACTTCGGTTCTAAAGTCTGGCTAGTTGTGGTATTACTTATCTGTGCTGCACAAAACAATGACAAAATCAGATGTATTTTTTTACTTAATTCAATCAGCTTATTCCAGCTTAGATAATACAAAAAATATATTGACATCAAATACTTGATGTGTACCAAGTACGGATAGAGAGGCTCATAGAAGTTAATTTAAGAGAAGACATTTCTTGACACTAATAGTTTCAGATGGAAACGTCTTTGCCCGGGCGTGGGCGGCACTGTCAGGCTGCGTTGGCAGGCGGCTGCATGCGTTGACGAGTGGGCTGGGTGAGCACCAGGGGCTCCTTGGCCACCGTCGCCGGGTAGTTCTTGCCCAGGAGCTCCACCTCCACGTGCTGCCCCACCAAGCTCAGCTCCACAGGAACGTATGCAAACGCCACGCTGTGCCCCGCCGTGTAGCTGTAGGCCCCGGACGTTGTGTTGCCCACGACCTGCGTGGGACGCCAACGCATCGTTGTCCGCGTTTGCTGTACGCGTAGCCGCTGGTGCGTCATGAATTAATAACGTCTCACGAGCGCCGAGTGGTGCGCACGCAAATGAGGGTTTCACATCAAAAATGTATGTAGTGATGTACTCACAACTTATGTGTTCAATTATTGATCTATTTATTATTTATTTAAGGCTTCTCCACCATCTCTGACTTACCGCATCAGATAAGAGAACATTCTGTGAGCACAAATGGGAATGGCTCGTTTAATTGTAAATGGCTGAAATGAAAATAAATGTAAAATCAGTTTGAGATTAAATTATCGCCTTGCCAGTGGGAAAGTGGTTTGAATCACGATAAGAGATCAGTGATCCCAATTGCATTCTACTGGGATTAATTACTGGCCACAGCTCAGCAATGAGATGGAGTGGTGGTGCAGTGGTTTACGCATTGTAATACGAACCCCCATAAACTGAGTTTGACTCCCGGTTACAACACCAGCAGTGGGTGAAATCTTAACCAGTTTTGCTCACACCATTCACGGACCCACGCTGATCTATGTGGTGAAGTATGGTCAAACAATCGTCATGACCAAGAGGCGTGGGGAGGCCTTCATTCAACAGTGGATTTGTGAAGAGATGTGCACCAGATTTACCTTGCCATTGCACCACACACTCTCATTCCCCTCCGGATCGACGTCATCGGTGTCCAGGGTGAGATACACCAGATGCCGTGTCAGCCCTTCCCTCTTGATCCTCTGCAGGGCTTCCTTGCCGATGAAATCCGCATCCTGTGGTGGACATGGCCAACAGAGGAAGGCATAACGACAACAACATTATTCATCAAAGTTGATAGCATAACGCCACCAAATGCACTCGCTTAGCTGGGACAGAACCGTTTTCAGAGTCTGTTCCGTTATCCCGAAGCATTTGCAATGATGTGGATTTTGTCCCAGTTAAAATTATTCTCGCCTCGTGCTTGACTTGATATGAGCAATGGGTGAGACGACTGAGTAGTGGGCGGAGTTGGCAGTGGAGTAGGCAAGGCCTAAGAGCAGCAGATGGGGCGAACGTCAGGTAGAGCCAGGCAGGAGGTCTCTGCCTGTGTGGGCGGCGCTAGTCCTTGGGTGGGAGTGGCCATGGCAAGTGGGTGGGGTTGACTAAAGGAGCTGCTGCCAGCTCACCACGTGTCCGCATTGAGCCTCCTAGGAATATGGAAGCTTTAAGATGGCATAATGTTTAATTCATAATTATAGTACTTTGCTAACTGCATTCCACTGGACCTATTTGGGAACACATCGTATTTGGTACAGTATTTTAAGGCTAGTGTTGCGATAGGACATTAAGACAATTTGTAAACAGCAAGGCATACGGCAGTATAAACACTTTGTATGCATTTATATATTTTCAAAAACTGACATGTACATGCAATATACTTAGGGCAAAGCAGTATATTAAATCTGGATACAAAGTAGAAAGTAAAGTATCGTGTGGTTGACATTTATCTGAGACATAATCTTTATGTATATATTTTATTTCCTAGAACACAATAGTTCACCTTGACAGACACCACTACCCCCACATGGCACACTTCCCAGGATCAAAAGCACAGGCACTGGAACTCAGCTATCGCTCTCCACGCAGCCTGGGCAGGGCACTGCCTCATGCACTTGACGCGCAATTGCAAACTTATAACTTCAAATCCAACGCCGGGGTCGACATCGTTCATCATCGCTCCAGGGCTGATGAACGATGTTTACTATAACATGGAAGGTCGACGGTGGTTGTCTTATGGACTTGGCTCTTGCCATGGAAATGCGGAGTTTCCACCTTTGACCCAAGGCTGAAAAGGGTGATTGAATGCCATCTGTTCATGAGTACTGTAGTCGCAACCTATTCCACCACACGACCCATTAAGACAGTGCAAATATGGTCTCATTCGCAAGGGTGTCCTGAGTTAAATCACAAGTTTGATTTTAATAGTTTAGTTTCATTTCATTTCATAGTTTCATTTATTTGGTATAGCCCTGTGAGCCATTCGGCTCTTGAATCGGGTGCAACCGCAACAAACAAAAACACAAAAACATGAACAAGAAAACATCTTAAAGTGACATTGTGCATGTGCAAACAGAAAATCCAGGAAAAAACATCAAAATATTCCTGAAATAGCACCGTACACCAACGCTGTGTGCAAAAATCCCAGTGGGATGCAAGTCAAACAACAACGACAACAAGAAAACTTAGATTAAGGTCATCAGTCTAACTCCGTACTACAATAAACAAAAACATGGCCAAACCAAAAAACTTTTAGAAATTACCAAAATAAAGCCATAAATGCAATGTAACAGTGATCATAGGAACTATGACTGAATTTTTAACAATAAACTACATAAATAACATGTAACACCAAACCCTAGAGCCACATCTGGCTGCATGAGTCATTCCACAAACAACAGGAGCATCAAATTTTGATTTAAAGCTTTCGTGACTGCAGTAATTCATATTCTTAGTTTTTTCGGTAAAGTCACGTTGAAGAGAAACAACAAAATAACAAAATATATATAAAACAATAAAAAATTCTCACGACGTTTCGACCATAACTCAAACGGTCATCATCAGGTGTGTCGGTTTGCATAAATTGATTTTGAAAACGGCATATTTATTTATTTATTTATAAAAAAAACGTTGGCGTCACGCGCAGCGATTGGCAGTTTGCCAAGGACTAGTCCATCTATTTTTTTGAAAAGAGGAGGGGGGAGATGAAATTTTTTATAATGTATGCTGTCTGAAAGCCACTGTAAGCGTGAACAATCAATCAAGAACTGAAATGATTTATCAAATCTTTCCAATGATTGCTAAGATAGAATCCATCTTCTCGGTTGAAATTGTCTCTGTGCTTGTATATGTGGATAGCCTCATGAACGAATCTCTCATGGAAGCCAGATGGCTTACAAAGAACCTCCGTCTTGGAAAAATCAATGGCATGTGAGCCTACTGAATTAGAACAATGATCTGCTACGGCCGAGGTGTTGGTCCTACCGTGTTTAAGGTCTGCTTTATGTTCACGAATGCGGTCCGAGACATGGCGTTTGGTTTCTCCAATGTAACTACTACCACAGAGGCAACTTAGTTTGTAGACACCAGGGTATTGTATGTCCGGAATCACATCTTTTACAGACGGAACCAGATCACGGATTTTATGTAATGTGTTGAAACGGACCTGGATCTTGTGTTTATTCAAGATTTTGGAGATCTTTTTTGTGATCCCAGCAATGTATGGTAAAGTGATGGTTTTGAAAGGCTCCTCAAGAGGGTTCTTCTTCATGGTTTGAGTGATAGCTTTGCGGATTGTATAGTCGGAGTAACCATTAGCCCTAAGAGCTTGGTGTACGTGCTTGAGTTCACTGCTTATGTGTTCCTGGTCGGATATGCATTGGGCTCTATGATACAGAGTCTTGATGAGAGAGCATCAGTCGGAGTATCACATTTTTCAATGCACCTTTAAGATCAGCACACTAAATCAAAATACAGATAATACTTTGCAGCGGTCATCCAGAGCGAAGCATTTTATTTTATTTTAGGCCACTGAATAGCAGTGGCAGCTAGGGGTGTACAACTCCTCTAGAGCAGTTTTGAGTGAAGATCTCATAGGTAGTGATTCAAGTTGCAGTTTATTGGCAATAGCATTCCAGACCCTGGGGGCATCAATAGCAAAGGCCCTTCCTCCAGTTTTTGTACGGCAATAGGGAATGTGAAGCTGGTAGATGAGCGAAGACCTGAGGTCAAATTTGTTCTTTGAAACAGAGAGGTAGTCTGCGGATTTTTTTGTAAGTACATCGTGAATAAATAAGATCTGGTGTACAAGCCGTCGAACATTAAGAGATGTTAAGTTTGACCCAATGTAGAGATCACAGTGGTGAGTCCTATATGGGCAGTTCAATGCAAATCTTAAGGCCGAGTGATAGATGGAATCAAGCTTCTTCAATACAGTACTTGGGGCTGATTTATACACGATATCACAGTAATCAAGTAGAGGCAGTATGGTAGCTTTTATAAATTCCAAATGGAACATAGGGGGGAAGCAGTGCTTGTGTCGATACAGAAAACCAATTTTTATTTTTGTCTTTTTACCAATATAATCAATGTGATCTTCAAAATTCAGTTTTGAATCCAGGATGACCCCAAGATACTTATAGAACTTGACTTGCTCTATTTGATCATTATTTAAGGAATGTAATTTGGGAAAAATAACTTCCTGCTTTAGTCCCGGTGAGAAGCATAGCACCTTGGTTTTGGAGGTATTTAGGACTAGTTTAAGAGCAACTAGCTGATGTTTTAGTTTGTTGAAATAACCCTGGAGCTTAGAAATCACGTCATCCGGAGAGCAGCCAGCAGTAATCAGTATCAGTAAATAACAAACAGGGAAACCAAAGCATCAACTACACGACTGGACAACGACAAAATGAGAAACTGGCATGGATTTGCCGATTTAAATACCATTAACACACATCCGAGCAGGAAGACACAATATCCGGGCAGCTCGAGTTCCCGCGAATCACCATACACTCCAACAGGGCTAATATTCTCCTGGAATATGAGCTCAACGTAAAATTAGACTCATGAGATCTCTGGCACCTTTTTGCCAGTATCTAAAATGATGAAAATCACAATAGGTTTTACTCTTTACAGCAATTAAACAGGTGATAAGATGTTCAAACACCACATAGAGACGTTTTGCAGGGCATCAAGTCTGCATTAACCACACGTACTTATGTGAAACCTATTCTTAGACTAATGTTCTAAATAGCAATGGTCGATCATTACTGGGCGCCTGTCACTTTACCTTGTTCACTTTAATGAAGGGCTGAAGGCCTGCTTCAAATGGGTTTGTATCACAGTTCATCTGAAAGCCAGAACATTAGACACATGACAATGCATAGTTAAGACATGTGAAAAACGAATAGTACTTCAAGCAAGAGAGAGCCTTTGCAAATAAAAAAATCCACCAGATTAAGTTAGTTTTTGCACTTAATTGGGCTAAATTCCAGTTCTGATGATTGTTATTTTTCTGTCATGCGAAGAACGATCCTATGTCAGAGTGCGAGAGAAAGTGTGCCCTCTGATTTTTAAACAATACAAATGACACTTGAAGCATTTTTCAGGCGCAATATTTTCAAAACGTCTTTTGCCAGCTGTCATCTGACATTGGGGGCTTGTTGCTCTAAGATGTCCTCATCTGTTCTTCATCAAGTGTCATGATACAGAAAGCACAATCTAATTCAATTGTGGAGAGGGGAATACCAATCAACCTGCATTTCCATTTCTGACTCTTCAAATTTTATATAGAGTACCTAAAGTTAGCTGCTGTACATATTAAAGGCTCCCAGAGGCATGTCACCAGAGACTACTGATAAAGCCCAATAAGATCATAACCGGTCTACATTTGTGTTCTTGTTTCACTGCTGCCTGTTGGCATGGCCACATTTTCTCAACTATAAGAGTTGGCGGTCTAAACGACAACACGGCCACGTGTTCAGTTCTTTGGAGATGGTGGTCTCTATAACGTTGAGATGGCGGTCTCTATAACGTTGAGATGGCGGTCTCTATAACGTTGAGATGGCGGTCTCTATAACGTTGAGATGGCGGTCTCTATAACGTTGAGATGGCGGTCTCTATAACGCTGAGATGGCGGTCTCTATAACGCTGAGACGGCGGTCTCTATAACGCTGAGATGGTGGTCGCTATAACGTTGAGATGGTGGTCTCTATAACGTTGAGATGGTGGTCTCTATAACGTTGAGATAGTGGTCTCTTTAACGTTGAGATGGTGGTCTCTAACGTTGAGATGGTGGTCTCTATAACATTGAGATGGTGGTCTCTATAACGTTGAGATGGTGGTCTCTATAACGTTGAGATGGTGGTCTCTATAACGTTGAGATGGTGGTCTCTATAACGTTGAGATGGCGGTCTCTATAACGTTGAGATGGTGGTCTCTATAACGTTGAGATGGTGGTCTCTATAACGTTGAGATGGTGGTCTCTATAACGTTGAGATGGTGGTCTCTATAACGTTGAGATGGTGGTCTCTATAACGTTGAGATGGTGGTCTCTATAACGTTGAGATGGTGGTCTCTATAACGTTGAGATGGTGGTCTCTATAACGTTGAGATGGTGGTCTCTATAACGTTGAGATGGTGGTCTCTATGACGTTGAGATGGTGGTCTCTATAACGTTGAGATGGTGGTCTCTATAACGTTGAGATGGTGGTCTCTATAACGTTGAGATGGTGGTCTCTATAACGTTGAGATGGTGGTCTCTATAACGTTGAGATGGTGGTCTCTATAACGTTGAGATGGTGGTCTCTATAACGTTGAGATGGTGGTCTCTATAACGCTGAGATGGTGGTCGCTATAACGTTCAGCAATGCTGCACACCTTGGTGCGTTATATTTCTTCCAACTCCATTACTGCGGAAATAATGCAAGATTTATGTTTTTTGGTGAACAATACAGAAACAGTTCTGCCGCTGTTCATGAACTCAGAGTAAAAAATCAGTAATTCCTTCAAACGTCACTGCTACGGGTTCACAGCGGGGGTGGGGTCACCACGTGTGCTGGTTTGATCAGGATAGTCTAGCAATCATTGCTGCTGTGGGACAGAAGCAATGATTGCCAGACTATTCTGTGGGACAGAAGCGACTGTGACAACGCAGTGAACCCGTGCAGACGACACCTACAAGGTGTGTTAGAAAATTAAACGCTAACGTTTCCCCTCGGCTCTGTGCTTTGACCCCCCTCAGTGCCGCCCCACAATACAAGATCATAAACCCAACATCGGTAACTCCGGGTGGGTGGCACGTGACGACATGTGTCCAACAGAATTCTAGCGGATGCTGTTCATTCACGGTTACCATCGATCCACACATTTGAAACCACTGGGGTTTGACAGCAGCCCAATGGGGGTGTTTTCACATTTGTGTATTGTCAGGGGCCGCACCGCAGGGGCCGCACGAAAGGCCAGCGGGTGTCACCAGTGGCTCGCGGGGCTTGCCAAAGGGAGCACTGCCGCGGAGCACGGCGTGCGTGCCGTGTGCACTCGCGGTACCTCAGCTCCCCAGGCGCGGAACGCTTTCTCCATGCGCAGAGAGTTCATGGCGTACGCCCCGAAATCCCCGATGCCAAACTCCCGGCCGGCCTCCATGAGCGCGGAGTAGAGGGCGCCCGTGTCCTCGCGCTGGTGGTACAGCTCCCAGCCGAGCTCGCCTGCGCGTGGCCGTGCACAGGCCACGGGTCACGACCAGGAGCGCTTCGCTTACAACGCAACGCACGCCGATGTCACATGTGAAGCTGTCGATGTGCTCTGGTTTAACTCTCGCTCCTAACAGATGTTAGCTGTGGTCCCGGGTTACCAGAGTCATAGAGTAGCTATTTCCTGGCCATTTAGCAGCCCAGAAGATTTGGGAGTTTTACAAATCTTTATGTGATCCACCAACCGTTGCCTCGAAGGTTCTGAATCACAGGCATACACAACCTTGCCCGGTTGGGATGTGCAGCGTCTTGGGAAGACGTGGGTGACCTGGCGCCACGGTGACGAGATGTGAACTACCTTTGCTGGTATACAGGAGGTCGTGGGTTCAATGCCAACTTTTATGCCTGTATATTGGAGTTGAGGTGTCTCTCTCTCCCCTTGGTCGTGTGGATTTTTCTCCGGGTCCTCTGGGTTTTCCCTCTACATTTAGCATTTGCCCGAGATACATTTCCATGCAATAATAAGCCACTTCGTTGAGCTATCGATTCCGAAAAAGACCTACACAGCTCAGTAGGGTTTACCTGGTAAAATAAAAAATAATTTTAGCTTGGAATCTCCAAGGCGCTCAGACGACGCTGACGTGAAACTGGCCACACAATCCCGCGTGCGTGCGTGCGTGGGGCGAGCGTGGGGCGAGGGCGCAAGCCCTACCGGTGTAGGAGATGCGCACGGCGGTGACGGCGCGGCCCGCCACGTGCACGGCACGGCAGCGCAAGAAGCGGAAGGCGTCGTCGTCGAGGGCGGCGTCGGTGAGGCGCGCGAGCACGCGGCGCGACAACGGCCCCGCCACGCCCAGCACGCCCATGTCGTCCGTCACGTTCCGCACGCTCACCTCGAAGCCCCCCGCCGCCGCGTGCTCCTCTATCCAGCTGCGGCACGCACGCGCGCACACGAAGGGCGCGCGCTCGCTCGATCTGGACCGTACCGACTCAGCTCGAGTGTGAGCAGGGCGGCTGAGCTGAGAATTGACCAGTCCAGGGGTCGGCGACCAAAATAAGAAGAAGAGATTTTTCGAATTCGGTAAAAAAATAAAAATCGATATTCATCAAGAGCCACGATGTATTCTAGATTTGAAGCTTTCGTGACTGCAAGGATCCATACTCTTTGGTTCTATTCGGTAAAGTCACGTAGGTAAAAAATAAAACAACAAAAATCACGACGTTTCGGTCACTGATGAAGGCCGCTTGTGTTGTGGCCAAAACGTCGTGATTTTTGTTGTTTTATTTTTTACCTACATGACTTTACCGAATAGAACCAAAGAGTATAGCCACGATGTATGTCAATACGAGACAGTGGTCCAGAATGAACGACGTCACGAAGCAGCAATCCTCAAAGAGTCACCGTAGGTTGCCGACCCATGGACGAGTCGATTTAGATTTGGTCTTGCCCCTTCATCTGCCCAACTCCACCACTGCTCACCTCTGGAGGCCTCGATAGGTAAAGATCTTAAACCGTTTTTGGTAAGTTTTATACAATGATTTCTATTTATTATGAGTTAAAATGTATGTGGACTCATAATCAGATTCATTTTTGTACACTCCGTGACACTTATTCACGGATTTTCCCCAGAAATGCCTCGGGGAAATTAGCGTTCGCTTGAAGTAATTTCGAGTAAAGTAGCACTTCCCAGAAAGGCAGCCCCTTGCGTAATGCGGGAGATTCCCAAAGAGTCCCCGCCGCTACGCTCGTTCCTGGCTCCTTCTGACCAACGCACGTCACATGCTTGAAGAGCGACGTGTGAAGACAATGAGGGCGCTGAAGAAAAATGTGACGAGCAGAGCATCCTCCTCGTCAGACTTCCAGGAAGACTGTCAGAAGCTGCGCAATCGCCGGCGGTGATGTCGCCACAGCCCTGAAGTGGACCTGCCCTAAGAATGCATGGCTGTGCTGTTATGGACATGGATACATTAATTACGTGAACTCGCTGAGTGTAATTCGATGAACAGTCAATGGGTGAAGGTTCCCCCCACTCCAAGACGTCATTCAAGGCGAAACAATGAAGTCAGCCGTCTCCCTGCTCAAAGGATGCGCCACTGCCACTGGGACAGCGGTGCCGTGAGGGCCACGAGGGCCGTGAGGGTCACGAGGACCCGCGGCTACCGGAGGTCGTGCAGCTCGGAGCCGGAGCCTGTGACGAGCAGCATCTGCTGGGGGCCCACGTGGTTGAGGGTGAGCTCCCCGTACACGCGGCCGTCCGGAGTCACCAGGTGACTGATGTTCGTATGGCCCTCCTGGTGCCAACAACACGCACTTTCAGCGGTGCTCGCGCACGCACACGCAGCAGCGCTCACACGCACAGACACACGCATCGGTGTCCACGCTGCCGCTGCTGCTGCTGCTGCTCACTTTGGGCAGGGCGTTGGCGAAGAGGCGGTCGGCGAGGCGAGTGGCGTCCTTCCCCGAGAGGAGGAACTTCCCGAACGGGGTCAGGTCGATGACCCCCACCGCCTCCATCACGAGGCGACACTCGCGACCCACCGCCTCGAACCAGTTTGTGCGACGGAAGCTCGGCCTGCAGATCCACGGAGGGGGGGGGGGGGGGGGGCGTCACCCCACCTGCGCTGTGTGCTCCCCCCACCCGAGCGAGTCGCCTACTCGCACGAGCATCGCGCCGGGCTCCCAGCCGTGCACCTACTGAGCGTGCAGGCGGTGCAACTGCACCAGGGCCAACGCCGACCACGCTCGCCTCTGCTTCTGCTTGCGGCCCTGAGTGGTGATGCAACGACTCCCTCGATTCAAAGTGCCTCGGATACAATGCGCCACCTACGTTCAAGGGTAGATGTATGTACGTATGTAAGTTGAACTTCTTTCGTACCGTCCAGTGCCAACCGTGCTCATCGTAAGGGTGGGGGAAGGACAAGCTAACGCACGAAAAGCAGTTCTAAAGAAACGAGTTATCAATCCAGAAAAGGGTGGGAATGGAACCCAGGAAGCTGTTGCACTAACCACTCTCACACCATTGCAATTGTCATAATTACCAAGCAGAGGTCTATCCTCTCTTGGATGAAGGCCTCCCGCACCTCCCATTAGTACGGTTAGCTACGTACGGTGCAAAAGAAGTTCAATGTACTGACAGGACTCGCCTGTACTACTCGCAGCACACACCTGCGCTGTCTGAACTCGCCTGTACTCGGCCCGCTGGCCGGGCGGCGCGAACCAGTGCGGCTGCTCCCAGCCGGCGTGGAAGCCCATGGAGGCGCCCTTGTGGAGCAGCGCGTGGTAGACGCCGCTCACCCGCTGGGTGGGCCGCCCGGCGACTCGCTCCTCCTTCGGGTAGCCCACTGAGCACGGGGGGGGGGGTGGCGGTGATCGCTGACGTGTGGAGGAGACAACTTCGGCGTCCCGAGCCTGCGCGTTTTCCTAGTTCTTACAAAAAGTGTTTTTTTAAGGCAAAGAGGTTGCTGGCTCGCGCGATTGCCGGTGGAAGTGCCACCACTAGAGGGAGTTCAAGAGATCCCCCTCTAGCCTATAAGTTGTGGGGTTCTTTAATCAATTTGTTGTTTGACAAGCAAATATTGATCTTATTTTACTCGCATAGATTCTTTGTTGTTAGGTGACAAAGCACCTGGAGATGACCTCGTGAAGGTGCTGCATAGGCTCGATTTGTACTGTTTCGACGTGGAAACCACTCCGTGTGTGGACACCTGGAGGCCAATTCACCGTCCGACCAGTGTGCTCCTTCAGCTTCCCGAAGGGGTCGTCTAGGGAGATGACCGCTGCCGACCGGAGAGCCACAGGCGCCACGGTGGCTAGGAGATGTTAACTACCTCACCTGGTATACAGGAGGTCGTGGGCTGCATGTCACGGTGGCTAGGAGATGTTAACTACCTCACCTGGTGTACAGGAGGTCGTGGGTTCGATCCCAACCCTGACACCTGCTGTATATATTTGGAGTTTGCATGTCTCTCTCTCTCTCTCCTCGTGGCGGCGTGGATTTTTCTCCGAGTTCTCCGGTTTTTCCCTCCACATTTAGAATCAACCCATTTAGAGTATTTGGCTGCTTTAAATGTCCACGTGATAAGCCACTTCATTGAGCTATCATTTGTGGCCAGGTCGTTTCTGAAAAAAAGTGAAATAGCTCAGTGGGCCTTGCCTGGTAAGTAAAATAAAAATTTGTTTGGCAGTTACATTTGTGGAGAGATGCACCACGAGCGTTGCTCACCGATGTTATTGGCGCCGTATGACTCCCTGGCCTTGGCGAGCGCGTACTCCGGCGTGGTCCACTTGCCGAAGCGGTTGGGGTCCAGCTCGATGAGGTCGAAGGGGGGCTGCCCCTTCATGATCCAGTCGCTCAGGTACTTGCCAACGCCTCCCGCGTGGATGATCCCATAGCTGCAGCGCACAGACACTATAGTCAATACCACAGCTACACACAGACACTACAGCTGATCCCATAGCTACAACACACAGACACTACAGCTGATCCCATAGCTACAACACACAGACACTATAGTTGATCCCATAGCTACAACACACAGACACTATAGTTGATCCCATAGCAACAACACACAGACACTATAGTTGATCCCATAGCTACAACACACAAACACTATAGTCAATACCACAGTTACAACACACAAACACTATAGTTGATCCCATAGCTACAACACACACACTATAGCTGATCCCATAGCTGCAGCGCACAGACACTATAGTCAATACCACAGTTACAACACACAGACACTATAGGTGATCCCGTATCTACAACACACAGACACTATAGTTGATCCCATAGCGACAACACACAGACACTATAGCTGATCCCATAGCTACAACACACAGACACTATAGTTAGTTTAACACGTAGGCTTTCGCGACCAATATTATTCATTGACTGATTACCAATCGATTATATAATGACAATACCCCCCCTCCGATCTCAAATCACTGCACCTGAAATGAGTTAAATTATGACGTCACCCTGCTGCTCTATTTAAGACCGAGAGCAAGTGAGGGCTTTACCATTCTGGCGAATTGCCCGATGATGCTGGATGTAATTACCAGCGAAACGTCGTACTCAAACTGTAAATGTTGTAGATTCACTCTTCAACACACCGGTGGGCTAAAGTAGTGAATTATTTGTCTTTTGTCAACGTGACACTTTTTTGCTGATTGGCCGTGTCGGGTGGTGGAGGGTTACGACACATTTATAAATAACGCGATCTAACCCAAAAACCTTTATTGTGAGACACTATAGTTGATCCCATAGCTACAACACACAGACACTATTGTCAATCCCATAGCTACAACACACAGGCACTATAGTTGATCCCATAGCTACAACACACAGACACTATAGTCAATACCACAGTTACAACACACAGACACTACAGCTGATCCCATAGCTACAACACACGGGCACTCTAGTCAATACCACAGTTACAACACACTAACACTCTAGTCAATACCACAGCTACAACACACTGACACTATAGTTGATCCCATAGCTACAACACAGACACTAATTGATCCCATAGCTACAACACAGATCCCTGCAGCAGTCATTCATTTCCATTGAGAGCACGTTCGTCAAACAGCATTTCTCCCAGGTTGTGCACGAGTACGACCTTGCACGCACAGACACACAGACGCGCTCTGTCGCGCAAATCGAGACAAAGCCGAGCCGCTTACCCGAAGCCCACGGCGACCCAGTAATTGGCGAGGCCCACGTGGGGCCCCAGCATGGGCAGCAGGTCGGGTGTGTAAGTGATGGGCCCGGCCACCACGCTCACGATCTCTGCCTTCTGCAGCACGGGCACCCGCTGCATGGCCGCCTCCATGTGGGGCATGATGCGCTCCAGGTCCGACTCGAACAGCTCCTTGCCGAAGTCTGCCGGGCGCGCACGAAGAGGACCGGGCGAGGGGTCGTGGATTCGGCATTCGCCGGGGCGACTCCGGCCGCGACGTGGCGTGCCGGAGGTGGCCCGCGGTGAGACGGGGCGAGTCCCGGCGCGGAGGCTCGTACTGTACGCGCAAGCCTACGGCATGTGGGCCCGTACGCGACCCGCTACTTCGTTCCGCTACTTCATGGTGCCGCGGTGCCGAGATGTTTACCGCAAGAGGTCGTGGGTTCGATCCTGACTTTGACGCCTGTACATTTGGAGTTTGCATGTTCTCCCTGTGGTTGTACGGATTTTTCTCTGGGTCCTCCAGGTTTTACTTCCATATTTGCAATCAACGTGCGTTTAAGGGTATTTGGCTGCTATAAATTTCCACGTGATAAGCCACTTCGTTGAGCTATCATTTGTGGCCAGATCACTTCTGAAAATAGCTATATAGCTCAGTGGGCCTTTACCTGGTAAAAAAAGGTTTTTATTAATTTTTTCACAAAATGTCAAAGCCCGCTTGATCTCCTTTGCTCCGTGAGGTTTTTTTTTGCCGCTGTGCGGACACGGAGATATAAATGTCGGCGCGCGGGACTCGCAACGATAGGTCACCTTTGGGCACGCCACTCTCGAGCCACTCCTCCTGAATCTTCATGCGCTCGGCGCTCTCGTAGGGGCCGAAGAGCAGCCCCTGGCGCTCCTGCCGCAGGTAGTAGGAGCCCTCCAGATCACGGATGACGGGCAGCTCACGCGGGAGGGCGGCCACCTCGGGGATGGTGGCCGTCACCACGTACTGGTGGTGGATCGGCACCAGCGGGTGCTCCAGGCCCACCAGCCGGCCCACCTCCCGGGCCCAGAAACCTGAGAAGACAACAACCGCTCCACTTCACCGCGACGTCGCTCATTAAACAAACGCGCGTTTGGAGGGGGCTGAGAGACTCATGGAGCGGACGCAGGCTCACAGACACGGAGCGGGCACCGCTAAGATCCTGGGTTTCATCCCGGGTATTAGCTGCCCGTGAATTGGCTGGGATGTCACATCTAGCAAGGTGTTGGTCTCGGCCTCATTACCAGTGACTGAATTAAAAGCCATTCAATTAAACATTAACGTGGCAACATTCCAGCTCCTAGAATGAAATAAGTAAATATTAATCTTCTTTGGTTCTTTCGGTAAAGTCACGTAGAATGAGAATAAAATAATAAAATTCTCACGACGTTTCGGCCACAACGCAAGCGGCCGTCTTCAGGTGAAAGGTACAGAACTGTCGGGACGACAGAGCTTCAATGAACAATGTTAAGATTCGTAGCGACTTTTAAGCTGGTTGGGAGAAGTGAGGCACCTTGACAAAGGGGTTTACATAGCAATAGCTGAGGGATTAGCTTGTGACTGGTCACGGAAATGGCTATGTTAAAGTCAAAACCTACACATCCACAGAGGCAGCTAGTAATTTAGCATTGAAATAGCTAAGGGATTAACTTGTGACTGGTCACAGGAATGGCTATGTTAAAGTCAAAACCTACACATCCACAGAGGCAACTAGTAATTTAGCATTGAAATAGCTAAGGGATTAGTTTGTGCAAATAGCTGAGGGATTAGCTTGTGACTGGCCACGGAAATGGCTATGTTAAAGTCAAAACCTACACATCCACAGAGGTAACTAGTAATTTAGCATTGAAATAGCTAAAGGATTAGCTTGTGACTGGTCACAGAAATAGATGTTAAAGTAAAGGCCTACACATCCACAGAGCTTCAATGAACGCTGTTAAGATTTGTAGTGACTTTTAAGCTGGTTGGGAGAAGTGAGGCACGTTGACAAAGGGGTTTACATATCAAATAGCTGAGGGATTAGCTTGTGACTGGTCACGGAAATGGCTATGTTAAAGTCAAAACCTACACATCCACAGAGGCAACTAGTAATTTAGCATTGAAATAGCTAAGGGATTAGCTTGTGACTGGTCACAGAAATAGATGTTAAACTAAAGGCCTACACATCCATAAGGTAAATGCACTACTTTAAGAGTTGTGAGTGAACACAGAGCTCACAGCACATTTCAAATAAAGTTGGTTTATTTCTTCCTGCCTCAGCAGTCCGCCTGCTGTATTTTTTCACCTGAAGACGATTGCTTGTGTTGCGATCGAAACGTCGTGATTTATTATTATTTTATTATTTTTCTATCTACGTGACTTTACCGAAAGACCCAAAGAGTTTGGTAAAGGACGTTTGTGTGTTTTGTTGTTATGGGAACGAGCACCATAATGGCACTCCGTTGACATCGCTGTGACATCACTCCTCTGCAATGCAGTGATGTCTCTGGAGAACCCTGACAGAATGCCCGATCTTAACTTAAAATGCTTTTTTTTCAGTTGTACAGATTCAAACTCATGATAGACAGCTTACTATATGAAACTTCTGTTATCACAGTGAATCTCCTTTTATCCACAAATAATTTACCCTCCCTCCCTTCTAGCCATGACCTTTAATTGATCTGGGAAAACTCCAATCAGCCGTTCGCTTTTTCTGATGACAAATTTATCCTGTTATCCGAATTCATTCACGGGTAAGAGGTGCAACCCAGAAGTGATCACCGCAAGCTTAAAAATCATCGTCCACTGATGAGCGACACTGCAGGGCCCTCTACTTGAGAAGCCAGCGCTGGCCTCCCTGTACCTACGAGCTGTCAGCAGCAGCAGCAGCGGCGTTGGCGGTGGGCACCTGTGCAGTTGATGACCCTTTGAGCCCGTATGGTGCCGTGCGGCGTGTGCACGTCCCAGTGGCCTTGCGGTGTCGGCGTGAGGCCGGTGACGGGCGCCGGCTGGGAGATCCGGACGCCGCGCTGCCTCGCGCCGGCAGCCAGCGCCATGGTGAGGGAGTAGGGGTCAATGTGTCCGTCACCTGGGTTGTAGATCCCCGCCAGGACCTGGGACGACACGCACACAGACAACACAAAGACAAAGATCCCCCGTAAAGCCTTAACAGACTGTTGGGGAAAGTGCTGTTGGCGAGTAGCACCTATGAAGGCCGGCACGGCACACGAGGGGGTGGGTGGCCAGCACCACGCCCGGCCGCCTTTGTCTCCCAAGTGGTGGTGTTTACACACCCCACCAGGTACTCATTTGAGGCTGAGTCAATCTAGGGGAGGCCCAGGACCGTTTGAGATAATCGTCCCTGGTGTTGGCCGTGAGCGAGAATCGAACTCGGTTCGGCAGGTTCGTAGCGCAGCGCTCACCGCTACACTGTTGCTTCTCACGCAGGGCTCTCTTCCATTCGAAAAACACACGTGACGGGGAACACTGGTCCTCAAAAACGAAAGGCTCATGGGCAAAAAGGCCGTTCTAATTAACGCGGTTGGACGGATTTCACTGCAAGTCGACTCAGGTGGTTGTGGGGATGAGTTGTACGAAGAGAGGAAACCACATCAGAAGAAGAGTGGTCACGGAAGCGCCAGGGTGGAGACCTGGAGGCCTAGGGAGAGGTGGTTGCAATTGATGAGCCAGGATGTGAAGCGAAATGGGGTGGATGTGGAGATGATGGCCCAGGGCAGGAATGAGTGGAGGAAGAGGACTCCCAGGGTAGAGGCCCCACATGAGAGGGACCATGCCAGCAATAAGAACATAGATTGTGCACAACGATTGTTCAGTTTCATTTGGCAACTTCACTTTTATGTGGGTTTTATAAACAACAACAACACCAGGAAGGTAAGTCGGGCAGATTAATGCCTAACCTCAACACTGCAACCATCATTATCGTGCATGACGTGTGCTAAAAAGAAGGGCAATTGCACATAACGTCGCTGATTTTATATATATGTTTTGCCCTTAAGGCAGTGTTGTGACTAGTGTGCTGAGGGTTTTTTAAATAATTGACAAAGTGCACGTTAACACCGCAGGACCCAATGGCGAGTGAAATTGTCAATCCCCTCGCCTAAGACATTGCGGATGAAGAATGAACCCGCCCGCCCGGTGGAGACCGAGAGCCATGCAAGGGACTCCCGTGGGCGAGAGCGGCGCGGCCGTGCCACGGGACGGTGCCGCGTGACGTGGGCACCCCGCGCGCAGCACCTGGTCCATGTTGAGGAGAGGAAAGAGCTCCTGGATCTTGTCGGGCCCGATGAGGCTCTGGGGCGTCACGTTCCAGCGCGCGCGCGTCATCTGGTAGTGGAACTCGTCGACCCGCTCTGGAGTGGTGGCCAGGCGGATGCTGCCGGGCTGGTGGAACCCCACCGCCTGCCGACACGGACGGAGGTGCGGTTGAGGCCACCGTCACAGACGAGCCCTGTGCTAGGAGGAGCATCGCCACCGATAATCGACAGGGAGCTGTGTGTGCCGTACTCGTCACCTGCCCACAATTATTTTACGTTGCGCATTATAGAGGTATGTGTCGAACTTAGACCCGTGTCTAACAGAGCAGGTCCTTGCCTATAAAGGTTGGCGCAGTTTACCAGCATTGATTCAAGCGAGCCTGACAATGCTGATGAGGCATTCTGCTGGTGAGGCACTTTCCTAGTGAGGCACTCTGCTGATGAGGCAGTTTTCATGTGAGGCACTCTGCTGGTGAGGCACTCTGCTGGTGAGGCACTCTGCTTGTGAGGCACCCTGCTGGTGAGGCACTCTGCTGGTGAGGTACCCTGCTGGTGAGGCACTTTTCATGTGAGGCACTCTGCTGGTGAGGCATCCTGCTGATGAGGCACCCTGCTGGTGAGGCACCCTGCTGGTGAGGCACCCTGCTGGTGAGGCACTCTGCTTGTGAGGCACCCTGCTGGTGAGGCACCCTGCTGGTGAGGCACCCTGCTGGTGAGGCACTCTGCTGGTGAGGCACTCTGCTGGTGAGGCACTCTGTTGGTGAGGCACTCTGTTGGTGAGGCACTCTGTTGGTGAGCCACCCTGCTGGTGAGGCACCCTGCTGGTGAGGCACTCTGCTGGTGAGGCACTCTGCTGGTGAGGCACTGTATGTCGAGACTGGTGCAGAGTTGTGCTCGAACTGAAGCAATGCTGCTGAAAAAAAATTCCTCCCAGAAGGCCGTGTGGCTGATGGGATGTGTAAAAAAGTTTTTGTTATGTAGAGAGACAGATTTGTAAATGAGGCGTATTGTCTGCTTATTTATTTTGTCACTTCAATTCTCCACAACGACGCTCATGATTAATTTGAGTTTCATAAAGATATGTTTTTGGATCCCAACATAAACATTTTAAAGAATAAAGTGTGTAGTCCTAATGCGTTGTGGTATTATCGGCCAGGGTACCGGTGTGTGGTGGCCCAGCTGGTGACCAATTGTCACAACCTGGGCCACGAGTCCATCCAAGACGCAATTCTCTGTTTTAACATTCCGCTGACTGTAGCGTCTCTGGTGGCTGCAGTGGCCACGTGAACCAATTACACAAAACATGCGAATCTAAAATAATTATCGGCGGCTATAAACTTACACACGATAAGCCACTTCGTGGAGCTATCATTTGTGGCCAGGTCACTTCTGAAAAATAACTTATAGCTAATTGGGCCTTACCTGGTAAAATAAAAAAAATTGTTTAATTTTAGTTAGTTTATTTATTTATAGTGATTTGCTTACCTTTCTTATACTTCCCATTGCTATCGTTTTTTTATTGTTGTAACTTTCTGAACCACCCCCTACTGGACAAATGTGAATAAAAGAGCTTCATAGCTCATCGGATTTCTCCAGGGTAAATAAAGATTCCGATTCAATTCCGATGCACGTATCCCGAGCGTAAGGGCGAGTTCCACATGGCTGCATTGATTCGCCGTCGCGTGCCTCGTGCGCAGATGGGGCTCACGTCGCTTTGCTCCGCACAATGTCGCACCGCGTGCGATGCGCGCTCCTGACCGTGTGGTTCGGGGCGGGGGGGAGGGGGGCGGTGCGCACCTGTCCCGTTTCCCTCTCGAGCTGCTCGTACAGCTTGATGCTGTAGTGGTGGATCTTCTTCAGGTTAATGCCAGGGTGGAAGTACGTCGTCAGTCCTGCCTACATAACAGATCGGCACGTACAAAAGACAAAGATAGCCTTTAACAGACTGTTGGGGCAAGTGCTGTTAACGAGCAGCTATGATGGCCGGCACAGCACACGAGGGGGTGGGTGGCCAGCACCACGGCCGGCCGCCTTTGTCTCCCCAGTGGCGATGTTTACACACCGCACCTTAGTACTCATTTGAAGCCGAGTCGACCTAGCGGAAGCTCAGGACTGGTTCAGATATTCGTCTCTGATGTTAGCCGTGAGTGGTGGTGAGATGTTAACTACTTCGGCTGGTATACAGTCGTGGGTTCGATCCTGATTTTGACACCTGTATATTTGGAGTGTACATGTTCTCCCCGTGGTCGTGTGGATTTTTCTGGGTTTTCCCTCAACATTTAGAAACATGTGTTTAGAGTATTTGCCTGTTATACATTTATACGTCATAAGCCACTTTGCTGAGCTATCATTTGTGGTCAGGCCCCTTCTGAAAATGAGCTACATAGCTCAGTGGGCCGTAAATGCTAAAATGAAAACTAAGTTTAGTTTATAGGTTATAGAACTCGGGTGCCGGGTTCGTAGCGCAGTGCACTAACAACTCCACTCGGAGCTTAGCACAAGGGATCAATCCCAAACAGGCGGCGACTCCCGGCTTCAGGATGCGTGGCCGAGGGAAGGGGCTCTCTGCCTGCCCTGACCGACCGCGTGCCACGTGGAGCCGGCCGTGAGCTCTGACTTCTCCAGCAGAACGACGCCGCTGGCCCCGGCACGCGCCAGGTGATAGGCCACGCTGACTCCCACGCAGCCGCCTCCGATCACCACCGTCTCGGCGCTGTCCTGCACGCTGCTGCTGCTGCTCGGCGGAGTGGAGGCCGCGCTGGGGTCGGGCAGGACGAGTGAGAGGACAGGCAGCACGATTGTGAGATGGTGCTGTACGTGTGTTGGATTTCTTTCGCACCGTACGTAGCCAACCGTACTAATCGGAGGTGCGTGGGAAGGACTAAACTAAACATATAAAGCAGTTCTATAGAATTGGGGTTTCAATAAAGATGTAAAAGTGCGTAGCTCCAGCGGCCTCCATATATCAGAAGGAAGAGCGTTACAGACGGCCGCAGAAGCGCATCTGAAAGCGTGCGACGCGGTGACTGTCTTTGTTCGATGGCCGAGCCAAAAGGGACAGTGATGGTGCAGCAGAAGAATTTCAACCAGCTCGGGACGATTGTGCAAAACAATTGTGATTCACACATTGCTCTTTACGCAGAGCACATGATTGTAATCTCCCTGCTGGTTAGATTGCAACGTCATAGGTGGAACAGCAACAACACGTTGCATATTCTCCAACGCCTCAATGTCCATTGGGTGAATATCCCGCAGAGGCTCGCGAGTTCCACCTCGCCCGAGCAATCCCGGCGTCGCTGCTGGGCCCGGTGCGTCCCCGACGCTGGAACGGTTCCAATGTTGGCATCAAATTCAACTCGGTGGTCATTTTCAGTCTGTGGAACGCAAAGTCCTCCCAGGACATTGTTGATACTGCAGTGGCTCCAGGCCAGACTGCCGTGCGGTGGTTGAGACCGGATCAGACCGGAGACCTCACACAGGCACGCGGCCTGCGCCGGTGTTGTTGCTGCCGCGGGCTGCACATGAGTGGCATGAGATGTCCTCACAAGGCCATTGCTCCGTGATGGGTCACCGAGGGCCATATTTTTATTTGGCTAAGGGTTTACTGATTAACGATGCTATCTTTAAAGGTTACAATGCTGCCTTACTTGTGCCAACAAAACAAACGCGGTGACTACTGCGCAGGGGAGAAGAGAACAGCGGAGCGTCACAGGCGCCACGGCAAAGTGAAATTCACCAAAAATAACCACCGCGGGGCCTTTGCCATTGGGGACCAAGGGCAAGCCATTGGAAGTCGATGCTGCGACCTCAATCCAGACGTCTACAGAGCGTGCGCCTTGTTTTTTTCTGAATCTGCGGCGCTCTGTGGACAGCAATTACAAACCGCACTAAAAACGACGACCATCACTTGTGGATGTTCTCCAATCCACCTGTTCCTCTTTTTTGTCAACGCAGTTGTCGGTGTCACTTCCGTACGCTTCTTAGAACGCTTTCAATTATTTATACTTTCAACCTTTTTCCCATTTTATCCAATAACGTCCATGACGAATGCATTTTAAAGAGAACACATTCATACGAATGTAGTTAATTTGATATTCGTATCGTTCTTACAGTGCACGGCTATCACACGTGCGTTGTGTCTTTTGCAGACAGTCGGCAGTAGTTTTAGACAAAAGGTGATGTTGTAATTCGAAGGTAATTTTCCAAATGTTGACGTCAACACAATGGTCTCCTCTTTTTGAATGACGTCACACGCACGCACCTGGAGCTCTGCGCGTGACACGCACACGCACGCACCTGGAGCTCTGCGCGTGACACGCACACGCACGCACCTGAGGCTCTGCGCGTGACACGCGCACATGCACGCACCTGGAACTCTGCATCTGCCGCACTGGAGCCGAGACAAGCACACGTGCGGACCGCGACGCGCCCAGCAGCAGCCGCAGCATTCTGAGGAAGACAAAGGCGCGCGGGGCGGCTCAAAGTTCACGCAAGTGCGGTCGACCTGGGTGGAGAAGATACCCGGGGAGAAGAGGCCCCACCGAGAGAAGCGAGTTCCTGAAAGAGCCGAGAACGGCAGGGGAAGACACGGAGAGGGGAGACACGGAGAGGGGAGACACGGAGAGGGGGAGACACGGAGAGGGGGAGACACGGAGAGGGGAGACACGGAGAGGGGGAGACACGGAGAGGGGAGACACGGCAGGGGGAGACACGGAGGGGGAGACACGGAGAGGGAGACACGGAGAGGGAGACACGGAGAGGGGGAGACACGGAGAGGGGAGACACTGAGAGGGGGAGACACGGAGAGGGGGAGACACGGAGAGGGGAGACACGGAGAGGGGGAGACACGGAGAGGGAGAGACACGGAGAGGGGAGACACGGAGAGAGAGAGAGACACGGCAGGGGGAGACACGGCAGGGGGAGACACGGAGAAGGGAGACACGGAGAGGGGGAGACACGGAGAGGGAGACAGGGAGAGGGGGAGACACGGAGAGGGGGAGACACGGAGAGGCACTCGCGGCGAGGAGACACCAGAGCAGAGACGCTAGATGAGGAGGACCTTGGGAGAGAGGAGGCCACGGGGGAGAGGAGGAGGGTCTGGCGAGTTATCTGTAGAGGCAACGATCCTCGCGTGTTGCCTGGCTGTCGTCTCTCGCCTGCTCGCATCACAAACGCGGTGGCATTGCAAACTTTGAGAGTGAGGGACAATGATTAACCAGTGAAAGTGGTTGAGTCCTAACTATCTAAATATGCTTGCGTACGTTTTAGCTTGCGAGGATGACGACGATGATGATACTGGCGGTCGTTGTGACAATGGTGTCCGGTTTAAAACGAATGAGCTCAGAGGGAGGGATATGAGTGTCTCAGGTGCGTAATTAATATGCCCATGGCGTTCACGCGTCGGATCATTGCGCTATATTGCAATGAACACCTCCACACAGACGCTCCGCCGACAGCCACTGACGAAGACAAACTCCTCTCCTAGAGAATCCCGGGATTTAGACGCGACTGCGGGGTTGCCCAAACTCCAGCACTCGCGACCCACCACGCCCTTTTCGCATTTACCAATTTACTCACCATTCAAATCAAGTGGTGTTGCGCTACGCGCGCCCAATGATTGTTAAACACGTCCCGCGTGAAGCGCTAAGCATTAAACAGTGTCAGTGTCACGTGGCACACGTGCGCGCAGACACACGTGCACACAACAACCGCCATTCGCCACTAAGTGGCGGTGCCGTCACCACGACGCTTGTGCCAGGCCATGTGCACCTTGAGGCCGCGTGAAGTGTCGAACGCCCGCGGGCAGGAGGTCACGGGGCAGACCCAGGTGCCACGGGTCGACTGACTAAGATGACTGACTGATGCACCACCTGTGCCCCCTACTAAGCCAACCTGCTGTGCTTTAGCCACCTGGCGCTCCGCTCGTTGTTGTGAGCGTCGCTCCTCCGCCCTCCGTTTTTGTTGGAGGGCGACTACCTCCAACTGCCCAGTAGCGCCCTTCACTAGCCTCCTCCACAGAGGCCAATCTTGACACCGCTGGTACCAGTCGTTGGCAAGTCCACTCAGCTCCACGTCCTCCTGTACAACATCACTCCATCTCTTCTCTAGCCCGTGCCGCGCCCGCTTAGCCCCCTCGATCCGGTCTAACAAAAGTTGTTTCGGCACGCGGTGGTTGGGCATGCGGGCTACATGACCCAGCCAACGCAGCCTTGCCTGCCGGAGGAGCTCACCGATGGGACCTTGCCCAGATCTTTCAAGGATTTGTGAGCTCCTCACACAATCCAGCCTGGTTAAACCCAGGATGGATCGTAGGCAGGCTAGCCTAAATGTTTCTAACCGGCGAAGATATTCCATTAGGGGGGTCCACGTTTCGCAAGCGTAGAGAAGGGAGGGAATGATCGTGGCCGAGAAGACCTGAAGCTTAGTGCGGAGCGACAGACCAGGTAGCTTCCACACAGCGTTACGCAACCGATGAAAAGATATTGCCGCTCGACTGATTCGGAGTGAGACCTCTGCTGTTAAACTGGAGCCGGTCATAAGCACACTGCCCAGGTAAGGGAAACTCTCCACTCTCCCCACAACTACCCCATCATCGATTGGGAGTTGTGGGGGTGGAGTGTCCGATGGTACAAAATACCCAGGCAGGTGCTTAGTTTTGGTGGCGCTGATGGTAAGGCCCCATCTCTTAGTGGCATGCTCCAGTCTCAGCAGCAGCGTCTCCAACTCTTTTTTTTGAATGAGCAGCTATTACCAAATCATCGGCATACATAACGTGGTTGAGCAATAGGGAGCCATCCCTTGACTGCACCCGGGTATCGATCAGCCTCCCATTATATCTGTACCATATGGAGATTCCCCCGGTACAGCTATTGAAGGCTTCACGAACTACGTGGTCAAAATAGATGTTAAATAATGTGGGAGCCAGTAGACATCCCTGTCGCACCCCAAGGTGTACAGGGAATGGCTCTGACTCCCGGCCACGTAGTTTTACCCGGGCCCGCTCACCATCATGAAGGTCCTTAATGATCGTGAGCAGAGGGTCAGGTACTCCAAAAGCACGAAGAACAACCCAGAGCCCGGGCCTACTGATGGTATCATAGGCTTTGACCAGGTCAATAAAGCAGAGATGTAGGTCTTGCTGTAATTCCCTATACCTCTGCTGTAGCAGACGGACAGAAAATATGGCATCTGTGCAGGACCGCCCTTTCCTGAAATCGCATTGGGGCTCCGCAAGCCTCTCCTCAGCGTTCCTGGCAAGGCGATGTTGAATAATCCTTGCCAGGACCTTTCCCGGCACACTGAACACACACACACGTGCACACACACACACACACGTGCACACACACACACGTGCACACACACACACGTGCACACACACACACGTGCACACACACACACGTGCACACACACACACGTGCACACACACACGTGCACACACACACACGTGCACACACACACACGTGCACACACACACACGTGCACACACAACAACAACAACAACAACCGCCATTCGCCACTAAGTGGCGGTGACGTCACCACGACGCTTGTGCCAGGCTATGTGCACCCTGAGGCCACGTGAAGTGTCGAACGCCCGCTGGCAGGAGGTCACGGGGCAGACCCAGGTGCCACGGGTCGACTGACTGAGATGACTGGCTGATGCACCACCTGTGCCCCCTACTGTGCCAACCTGCTGTGCTTTAGCCACCCGGCGCTCCGCTCGCTGTTGTGAGCGTCGCTCCTCCGCCCTCCGTTGTTGTTGGAGGGCGACTGCCTCCAACTGCCCAGTAGCATCCTTCACGAGCCTCCTCCACAGAGGCCGATCTTCACACCGCTGGTACCAGTCATCGGCAAGTCCACTCAGCTCCACGTCCTCCTGTACCACATCACTCCATCTCTTCTCTAGCCCGTGCCGCGCCCGCTTAGCCCCCTCAATCCGGCCAAACAAAAGCTGTTTCGGCATGCGGTGGCTGGGCATGCGGGCTACATGACCCAGCCATCGCAGCCTTGCCTGCCGGAGGAGCTCACCGATGGGACCCTGCCCAGATCTTTCAAGGATTTGTGAGCTCCTCACACAATCCAGTCTGGTTAAACCCAGGATGGATCGTAGGCAGGTCAGCCTAAATGTTTCTAACCGGCGAAGATGTTCCATTAGGGGGGTCCACGTTTCGCAAGCGTAGAGAAGGGAGGGAATGACCGTGGCCGAGAAGACCTGAAGCTTAGTGCGGAGCGACAGACCAGGTAGCTTCCACACAGCGTTACGCAACCGATGAAAAGATATTGCCGCTCGACTGATTCGGAGTGAGACCTCTGCTGTTAAACTGGAGCCAGTCATAAGCACACTGCCCAGGTATGGGAAACTCTCCACTCTCTCCACAACTGCCCCATCACCGATTGGGAGTTGTGGGGGTGGAGTGTCCGATGGTACAAAATACCCAGGCAGGTGCTTAGTTTTGGTGGGGCTGATGGTAAGGCCCCACCTCTTAGTGGCACGCTCCAGTCTCAGCAGCAGCGTCTGCAACTCCTCCTCTGACTGAGCAGCTATTACCAAGTCATCAGCATACATAACGTGGTTGAGCAATAGGGAGCCATCCCTTGACCGCACCCGGGCATCGATTAGCCTCCCATTATATCTGTACCATATGGAGATTCCCCCGGTACAGCTATTGAAGGCTTCACGAACTACGTGGTCAAAATAGATGTTAAATAATGTGGGAGCCAGAGGACATCCCTGTCGCACCCCAAGGTGTACAGGGAATGGCTCTGACTCCCGGCCACGTAGTTTTACCCGGGCCCGCTCACCATCATGAAGGTCCTTAATGATCGTGAGCAGAGGGTCAGGTACTCCAAAAGCACGAAGAACGACCCAGAGCCCAGGCCTACTGATGGTATCATAGGCCTTGACCAGGTCAATAAAGCAGAGATGTAGGTCTTGTTGGAATTCCCTACACCTCTGCTGTAGCAGACGGACAGAAAATATGGCATCTGTGCAGGACCGCCCTTTCCTGAAACCGCATTGGGGCTCCGCAAGCCTCTCCTCAGCGTGCCTGGCAAGGCGATGCTGAATAATCCTTGCCAGGACCTTTCCCGGCACACTGAGGAGTGAGATGCCCCTGTAGTTGTTACAGTCTGTGCGGTCCCCCTTCTTAAAAAGGGGGACCACCAGGGCATCCTTCCAATCCTGCGGAACCCGTCCAGTGGTCCAGACTGTTGTTATGATGTCATATAGGGCAGTCTGTGCACAAACGCCACCCTCCCTCAGCATTTCGCTTGGGAGATCATCTCTGCCCACTGCCTTTCCTGGTCTCAGACTCCGGATCGCCTTCAATACTTCCTCAGCAGATGGCACCTCAGCCAGCCACTCACAGGGGGTGACTTCATCCAATATTTGAGGCACCGCAGCCTCAGCAGGGTCATCCTCACTTTGTGCCACGATGTTTTCCTGGCTGTGGGATTTTCCCTCCCCCAGGACCTCACAGAAATGCTCAGCAAATCTGCGAACCTGTTCCTGGGGGTCGGAAATTGGATCACCGTTTTTTCCCCTAATGATGGTAATAGGTGTGGCGCTGCAGGTTACTTTTTTGATGGAGTTAAATAGCGATTTGTGATCACGGGCCACTGAGGCAGACTCCATCTCCTCAGCAACCCGCGACCACCACCCATCCTTGCAGCGCCTCACGGCTCTCCGAACCTCCGAGCGAAGGCTGCGGTAAGCCTCCTCATTCTCTGACGTGGGATTCTGTAGCCGATGACAGTGGGCCTGTCGCTTTTTCTCAACCATCCTGAACAACTCCTCTGTCATCCAGGGTGTCTGGGGAGGTCTGGACCGCGTACCCAAAGCAGCCATTGCAGCTGCATGAGTCACAGTCCTAAACCTCGCCCATTTACCCTCGACATCAGGAGGAGTCGGGGACGATGCCAATCCCAGCCGCAAGCGATGATGAAATTCTCGCTTGCAACTTTCATCAGATAACTGAGACCAGGCCACTTTAGGTTGGAATGGGGTCCTGGGTGTACACCCACCACCGGAGTGGAAGAATGGCAGGCGCATCTTACAGATGACTAGTCGATGGTCAGAGGGCAGATCAGCTCCACGGTAGGTCCTGGTGTCAAGGACATGGGCTCGCATTCGCTGGTCCGTCACTATGTAGTCCAGCAGATGTTCTTGCTTGGACCCGGCATGCATCCATGATGTTGTGTGGATGCGCCGATGCCGGAACAGCGTGTTGGTAATTACAAGCCCATGGGCTGCACAAAAATCTAGCAGCCTCCTACCATTGTTATTGAGCTGATCTGGCCCATGCCCTCCAATCACTCCAGACCAGGTGCCAGTATCATGACCAACTCGGGCATTGAAGTCACCCAACATGATGACTCTATCCCGAGGGGCCACTTTAGCCAGCACCTGTGACAGGAGGTCATAGAAGGCATCTGACTCATCGGCTTTGCCTGCATCCCTCCACGGATGTTCATCTTCGGTGGGGGCATAAGTAACCACGACCACCATTCCTCGCCTCCGGTTGATGGGAAGGCGAGCCCAAAGTAGCCTGGGGCTTACAGCTTCCCACACCTCACCGCCACGCTCCCACGCCCCCTTCATTCTTTTGTTCAAAAGAAGACCCACACCCTGTTGTTTGGCAGTCTGCTGCCCCGAGTAGAGGACTGTCCACCCCTCATGGTGGCAGGAGCCAGAGCCGGTCCACCGGACCTCCTGAATGCCGCATAGATCCAGGCGGTACCGGTCCAGCTCCCGACAGAGGAGTGGCAGCCTCTCCTCTGCAGTGAGCGTTCGAACATTCCACGTGGCCACCCGTAGTGGCTTTTCGTTGTTTCTGGAGTAGCCCCGAGGGTAGGTATTCAATCTCCTGGCTCCGCCAATTGGGGTTTGGCCAGGAGACGTCATAGACGCCTGGCCCCCCGGGGCCTCCGGCACAAGCTTAGTTGTTACATATTTCACTTTAATTCGTGGTTTTGTGGTAATTAATTGAAGGTGGAGGGGTTACCAGCCCCTCGCACGTGCACACACACACACGTGCACACACACACACGTGCACACACACACACGTGCACACACACACACGTGCACACACACACGTGCACACACACACACGCACACACGCACACGTGCACACACACACACGCACACACGCACACACACACACGCGCACACTGCCAGCTCATTCTTAACGCGAATCGGCTCCATTCACGCATAGAGCGTCAATTGCTCAGCGCGGCACGTGGGACGTGCTTAACAATTATCGGGCGCGTGCAGCGTGAAACAAGTGCATTTGTATTTGAATGGTGAGTAAATTGGTGAACGCGGATAGACGTAGCGTAGCGTGTCGCAAGCAGTGGCGTTTGGTAAAGTCTGCGCCTGGGTGTCCAGGTTCACAGCTTCTATCTTACAGATGTAAACTCTCCAAAGCGATGGCAAGACGATGCAGAAGACATCGATGAATTGTCTGCTTCAATGTTGTGTTGCTCATATTCTCCACAACGACGCTTACGATGTGTTGTGTATGATAAGGTTTTGGCTATAAGCATATTGCAGTTCACCAGAATTAGTTCACCAGCAAGCTTGAGTCGGCTGATGATGAGACGCTGAATGTCAAAATTGATCCAGAGTGAATCTTGACTTTAAGCTTTCGTGACTGCAGGAAGTCATATTCTTTGGGTCTTTCGGTAGAGTCACGTAGTCGTCGTCGTCGTCGTGGTGGTGAGGGTGGTGGTGGTGGTGAGGGTGGTGGTGGTGAGGGTCATGACGATGACCACGACGCTGCGGATGCCCTCTGAGCGGTCTCGGGCTCCAACCCCTCGTGCGCGCCGCCAATCAGACGCGGCGCGCGCGCGGCACACCCCCCCCTCCTCACCCCTCCTCTCCCTGCCGCTCTCCCTCGGAAAGCTCCTGACGAGGCTGAAATTCATTGACTGACTTGCGAGGGGGGGGGGGTGAATACACGTGGCAACACAATACAATCCGACAACTCATGGTGACATTAAACAAAACATCACCGGTAATGTTGTTGACATCCCCCCGTACCGCCTATTAGCACGGTTGGCTACGTACGGTGCGAAAGAAGTTCAACGTACACGCATTGTTTAACACTGCAGCAGCCGCGAGTTGAATGATGAGGGTGATGATGAAGTTGTTGTTCTGAGATGGCGGAAATAAATCGTGGCGACGATGTTTAGGGATGATAAAGGTGATGCGGTGATATTTGATGATGATGATGATTTAATGTTTGTAATGCCGTTTGAAATGATTTGAGAATGATGATGACAGAATGATATCGAGGGTTATGATGTGAGAATGATGGTGGCGATGTGACCATCATCCCAAGGTATATATTTATATTTATTAATGATGTAAATAAACGACACTCGGAGCTCCGGTGAGTACAACCGCGAGTCCACGCGAGCGAGCGAGCGCTCGGACAAACTCCGCTCGCACGCGGGAAGGACATTGCAGACTCGACGTTTTGTGGGCGAGATCGCGAAAATGTTGATGTGTTGTTAAACCCGCCACCACTCGACACAGCACACCGGTGTGGTACAATTCGAGTCGGACGTTTCGGTGGTGATTACAACCAGCTTCATCAAAGCGAGCATTGTGACGATAATCAAAATGGTGAAGCAGTCTTCCTGTTTCGGTCTAAAACAAGATTCTTAAACAACGTTAAAATAACATTCCTACATCCACAGATGTGTATTCAAGAGCCCACTTGCTCTACTGCCATCTCATGGACGCCTCGTATCCCGGGTCAGATTAATTTGGAGTGTCTGCATCTCTGCGTGATCCACCAACCCTTGCACACAAAGTGTCCTCTGTGTGGTGGGTCAGGGCGGGTTGCGTGCCCCTCTCTCGATTCCTTACACTGCGCCCATCGGTTGTGCGCCGTACAAGTCTGCGTCGAGCTTGCACCCATCATCCTCCAGAGAGGGTCCTTGTTCATTGCATCTGGCAGTTTACCAGCATTGATTCAGGCAAACGTGACACTGCTGATGAGACGGTGAATGTCGAAACGGGTCCAGAGGTGCGCTCGTACTGGGTCAATGCCGCTGGAATGACGCACTCTTACTGGGTTGTTGATTAAAAAAAAACACTTTGCACGCCTATCGTGTTGTTGTATTGTTTGTTGTTGTATTGTTTGTTGTTGTAGTGTTGTTGTATTGTTTGTTGTTGTATTGTTGTTGTATTGTTGTATTGTTTGTTGTTGTATTGTTTGGTGTATTGTTTTTGTATTGTTGTATTGTTGTTGTATTGTTGTTGTATTGTTTGTTGTTGTAACTTTCTGACCCGCCCCTACTGGACATCTGTGAAAAAAAGCTTCCTAGCTCATCGGATTCCTCCAGGATAAATAACGACTCCGATTCCGCAGTTCAGCGCGCTAACCGCTACACTGCCGCTCCCCGCGAATCTCCAACCACGGCGACAACAATCACCCAGCTGGGGACCGACAGCGCAGCAACCACCACCACCCGTTCCCACAACCACCCGCTCCCACCACCACCACCACCCGCTCCCACCACCACCACCACCACCCGCTCCCACCACCACCACCACCCGCTCCCACCACCCGCTCCCACCACCACCACCACCCGCTCCCACCACCCGCTCCCACCACCACCCGTTCCCACCACCACCACCACCCGTTCCCACCACCACCACCACCACCCGCTCCCACCACCACCACCACCACCCGCTCCCACCACCACCACCCGCTCCCACCACCCGCTCCCACCACCACCACCACCCGCTCCCACCACCACCACCCGCTCCCACCACCACCACCCGTTCCCACCACCACCACCCGCTCCCACCAACCCTGCGGCCGCTCATCTCAAGGTCGCGCGGAAGGACCAAACTTTGTTTTGTGTGTCTGCCTGTTTGTTTGTTCCTCTGCTGGCAAACACCGGCGACGATACCGCGCCGCTCCGCCTCTCGGGCAGGCTGCCCCTTCCACGGCGGCGCTCCGTATTTAAGTCCGCGTTGACGAAGCCGAGGAGTTCACCTTCCCACAGCTGTCCCTGCTCGCCGCCTGCGTGCTGCCCCTCGTGCTGCCCGCGTGCTGCCCGCGTGCTGCCTGCGTGCTGCCCTCGTGCTGCCCGCGTGCTGCCCCCGTGCTGCCCGCGTGCTGTCCACGTGCTGCCCCCGTGCTGCCCGCGTGCTGCCCGCGTGCTGCCCCTCGTGCTGCCCGCGTGCTGCCCCTCGTGCTGCCCGCGTGCTGCCCCCGTGCTGCCCGCGTGCTGCCCGCGTGCTGCCCCCGTGCTGCCCTCGTGCTGCCCCCGTGCTGCCCGCGTGCTGCCCCTCGTGCTGCCCGCGTGCTGCCCCTCGTGCTGCCCGCGTGCTGCCCCTCGTGCTGCCCGCGTGCTGTCCACGTGCTGCCCGCGTGCTGCCTCCGTGCTGCCCGCGTGCTGCCCCCTGAATCCAGCGGAGAGGCGTCATGTCCACCTCGTCGAGAAAGACGAAACCCCCCGCCAAGAAGGTACCGCTGTGTGAATGTCCGCCCGAGTGTTGACCGAATGCCCAGAGCGTGCCACGCGCGTGGTGGGGAGTGCACGGGGGAGTGAGGCGTGAGAGGGGGGGCAACCTTACCTTCGAGAAAGACGAAGCCAATTCCGATGGCAAGGGCCAAACTCTCCAAGGGAGAAGAACGAGCATCCAGGTGCTGCTGCACTGAGGTTTCTTAATGTATCGACCCCAGACACACCATGGATCTCTGAGCCCACCTTGGCTGGGATTTGAACTTCCTCGCGAATGAGAGTCCGGCCTCGTCCCAGACAAACCACATTCACGAGCGGATGGAGACCACGTGTAGGTGTTTCTTCTTACGTGGAATTAACCTCGCGATGCATTTTATTTTAAATTCGCGAATGAATTTGCGACAAGTGACGAGCGACCGGCGCTGTGGGGGCCACACCGCGGCGTGACGGCCCTTCATGCCTTCATTCATGCCTTCATTCATTCATTCAATCGCCCTTCAGCCGCAAATTCGAAGCAGAAGTTAACCGTTTTAAAAGGAGGGAGTTGCGTGTATGCACGTACGTTGAACTTACGTCGCACCGTACGTACCCAACCTTTACATTATGAGACCTCCTTTGCCAGAAACAAGATATAGGAATAGGTTTTACCCTTTTAACTGGCACAAAAACTGACACCTTTATTCAAGGCATCATGTTTGCAATAACCACAACACAAGCAGTCAAAATGCAAACAAAAAAGACAACTCTGATAATAATATGCACTGTCCTTGAATTTGATTTGTCCACACCCGAGACAGCTTTTCTTAGAGCCTAGTCTCCATTGGTGTTGGACCAGAAGACGCCAAAAGGCGTACAACTCAAAAACAGCGCACTATCAGATTATTGAGGGCTCGGGGTGAGCATTTACATTATGAGACCTCCTATATCTTGTTTCTGGCAAAGGAGGTCTCATAATGTAAATGCTGACCCCGAGCCCTCAAAACTCTGATAGTGCGCTGTTTTTGAGTTGTACGCCTTTTGGCGTCTTCTGGTCCTACACCAATGGAGACTAGGCTCTAAGAAAAGCTGTCTCGCGTGTTGACCAATCAAATTCAAGGACAGTGCATATTATTAGCAGAGTTGTCTTTTTTGTTTGCATTTTGACTGCTTGTGTTGTGGTTATTGCAAACATGATGCCTTGAATAAAGGTGTCAGTTTTTGTGCCAGTTAAAAGGGTAAAACCTATTCCTGTAGCCAACCTTGCTGACCACCACAGGGTCACTGGTGCCGTTCTGAAGCGCCGCGCGTGACATCCCCCCGTGTGCGCACGTGCTCAGCGCCGAACATGAGCAGCTGCCCATTGCCCCGTGGGCTCCTCTCGAGGTCTCCCGTTGCACTCGAGAGCACTTCTCACGGTGCAGTTCTCACGGTGCACTTCTCACGGTGCACATCTCACGGTGCACATCTCACGGTGCACATCTCACGGTGCACTTCTCACGGTGCACGTCTCACGGCATGTAAGATAATAAATATTGTACTGGAGCGTCAACCGTTCTCATCAATAATCCCGCCATGGGAAGGTAGAATTTCCAGGGTTGCCAACAGAGTTGTGTGAACACCCCGTTGCTTGCTGTGTGATCAGAGACACACTGACACAGCCTTGGATGCAAACACTGCACGGGTCTGCTTTATGTGTTTAATTTGTTGTCCTTCCCCGCACCTCCGATTAGCAAGGTTGGCTACGTACGGTGCGAAAGAATTTCAGAATACGCACACGCGTCAACAATTATGGCATCGGGTTTTTAAAGCGGTGCGGAAGAGGTGGCGCGGTATGCATTTAAAACAAATACACAGTACCACGTAGCGGCATTACATGTAGTCCATTCAAACTACACAGCGTAACGTCTCGTGAGATCAGTGTGTGTCACAGAGACTACCCAGCTGCGTTCTAGCGCGTTTAAACTCTGCGCTAGACATTGCGCTGACCTTGCCGGCATGTCAAACCGCCTGTCCCGTCTCTTGCCGCGATGCGAACCGCCCACCTATGGCCACTGTTGGCAACAGGGTCGCCGCCCTGTTTGGGTTTGACTCGAACATTCCGAGAGTTGGCGTCCGCGTTCGGGTGGCAGGGATTCCTTTGTATCGAGATCTGGTGCCGTGTGTCGCCGCTGTGTTAAACTTCACTGCGGTGTACAACGCACGGCAGTTTTGACAACGGACCTCGTCATGAGAAATGTGTCTGTGGGTCCGGTCTGCAGTCTGAAAAGTGGCGTCTTGGAGCTGGTAACACAAACTTTAACACGGATCCTCGGCCGCTAATCCACGCGAGGCTCACGGGAAATGCTGACAAATCCATAACCCTAACCTCGAGAAGCCCAGCTGGCACGTGAGTTTAGGTTTGGGGAGTCGGAGCGGGCATTCTGAGCGAAGTCGAGGGTGGACGCCCCGTTCGCTGTTACGCAAGGCGAGTGTCTTGGTCCGAGCAAGGCTGAACGAGAGCTTTCGGGGTTTGCCATCCTCCTTTCTCCCTGGGTTGGGACATCGTTGACATCAGATTTACCAAATAAAAGAAGCCTTAGATTTGAGCACTGGCGATCTCTTATGATGATATTGTTATGGTATCTGTATTATGTTGGCCTTTTTTTGCACCGTACGTAGCCAACCATGCTAATCGGAGGTGCGTATGTGACATGGATTAAGAATGACAACCTGCACGGAGTGTCCCTAATCATGGCCCTGACGGTGCTGGTCAGCTTGGGGAATTCATTGCGATCCCATTGATCTCTCATTTGGAGTCTCTGAGTTTAAACCTTTCTTCTTTTTACAGAAAATCAATAATTCCATGCCATTCGAGGTTTCTAAGATGCCAGCCGTGCTTTATAGGCACATGATGAGTAGGCATGAAATGATGCGTGTCCCGTTTAATAGTCGTCTCGTTTGTTTAGTCACATTTATGATATGATCCGGAAGGTAAAATAAAAATGTGTATCAAACATCACAAATAATCCACGGCCACGTGGAAGATCCGATGCTTGTATTGTCCTCACGAGACTCATGTGTGAACGAACCCTGCGTGCATGACAGTAGCCCTTGTGATAAATGAATCGATGCGTGCGTCGTGAGCGTAACAATCAGTGCACGTGCATTCATTAGCATTTCTATTTTACATATTTTACTCGGAATATCCCTTGAGATGGAACCATCTGCTTTGTTATCATTGCCCGGGGTGTGTTCATCGACACCTACACGGCAAACACTTAATGACACGGATGCAAGCAAAATGTTTCAGTTTATTTATTAGGTATAGCCCTGTGAGCCACGCGCCTCTTGAATCGGGTGCAACCGCAACAAACAAAAACAAAAACATGAACAAGAAACATCTTAAAGTGACGACGCGCAACAGAAAAATCCAGGAAACAAACAGCAAAGTCTTCCAGAAAAAGCACCGTATATGAACGCTGTGTGCAAAAATCCCAGTAGGATGCAAGTCACACAATAACAACCATAAGACAATTTAGATTAAAGTTATCAGTCTAACTCTGTACTACAACAAACAAATATGGCTAAACCAAAACTTTTTCGAAATCACCAAAATAAAGCTATAAGAATAATGTAACAGTGATCATAGGAACTGTGATTCAAATTTAACAATAAACGATATACATAACATGTACGACCAAACTTTTCAGCCATAGCTGGCTGCATGAGTGACTTCACAACAGCAGTAGTATCAGTAGGAGTATCAAACATTTTGCAATGCACCTTTATAGATCAGCACACTATAATCAAAACTCAATATCATACTTTGCAGCGGTCATCTGGAGCGATACATTTGATTTCGGGCCACTGAAGAGCAGTGGCAGCTAGGGGTGTACAACTCCTCTAGAGCAGTTTTGAGTGAAGATCTCACAGGTAGTGTGAACATCTTTAACTTATGCAGTTTGCATTTACACAAAATTCACATTCAGTCCTCTGCCTCCGCCCTCCCCTCCGCCCCACAGGGCATCCTGGAGCGGCTGAATGCTGGGGAGGTGCTGATCGGTGATGGGGGCTTCGTGTTCGCGCTGGAGAAGAGGGGCTACGTGAAGGCCGGGCCCTGGACCCCGGAGGCGACCGTCGAGTACCCCGAGGCCGGTGCGCGCCCTCCCCCTCTCCCTCCGCTCCCTCTCCCTCGCCCCCTCCCTCTCCCTCCCTCGCCCTCTCCCTCGCCCTCCCTCTCTCGCCCTCTCCCTCGCCCTCCCTCTCTCGCCCTCTCCCTCCCTCGCCCTCGCCCTTCCTCTCCCTCGCCCCCTCCCCTCCCTCTCCCTCCCTCGCCCTCTCCCTCCCTCGCCCTCCCTCTCTCTCGCCCTCCCTCGACCTCTCCCTCGCCCTCCCTCGCGCAGCCCTCAGCTATTCACCGTTGACAGGCGCCTGCCGAGAGTGCAGGTGACGACGCACGGGCGATCGATTCCCTCTCGGGGTCGCCACCTTTTCCAACGTAGACCAAAGCCCAGACGTATTCCTCGGCCAGCCAAGGTCGATCAGAAGTGCGCAGTTTTGCTGAGTTAACCCGGAACAACGAGTGTCAATGCTCGGGCACACGTCCCTATCCAACCTGTGCAGGTGGCAACACTATTCACTCCTGTGGAGTCGCTGTGCTGCGAAATACCTCCACAGGCCAACACTGGTGGCACCTCCAGGTGGCCTGGTGGCACCTCCAGATGGCCTGGTGGCACCTCCAGGTGGCCTGGTGGCACCTCCAGGTGGCCTGGTGGCACCTCCAGGTGGCCTGGTGGCCCCTCCAAGTGGCCTGGTGGCACCTCCAGGTGGCCTGGTGGCACCTCCAGGTGGCCTGGTGACACCTCCAGGTGGCCTGGTGGCACCTCCAGGTGGCCTGGTGGCACCTCCAGGTGGCCTGGTGACACCTCCAGGTGGCCTGGTGACACCTCCAGGTGGCCTAGTGGCACCTCCAGGTGGCCTGGTGGTACCTCCAGGTGGCCTGGTGACACCTCCAGTTGACCTGGTGACACCTCCAGGTGGCCTGGTGGCACCTCCAGGTGGCCTGGTGACACCTGCAGGTGACCTGGTGACACCTGCAGGTGACCTGGTGGTACCTCCAGGTGGCCTGGTGGCACCTTCAGGTGGCCTGGTGACACCTCCAGGTGGCCTGGCGGCACCTCCAGGTGGCCTGGTGGCACTGGGGTTTCATCGTGGAAATGTCAGTGCATGATGAATGTCGCCACTTCTCTATATTTAACTGGGTCAGCCCGGAAATTGGCGTCTGTGTTCAGGAGGCAGGAATTGATTTTAATTGAGAGCCGCTATCATAATTGTGTTGAACAGTATTGTAGTCGACATCTGCGGGGGGGAGGGGGTGGAGCGGGGGCTGGAATTGGCACAGCGCCAACAGCGCCTAAATCCTGGGTTGAAGTGTCAGTCACTGCCTGTGATGTAATGGGGTTCTCACGTGTCGCGAGTAGATGGTCTCAGCCTGGTCACCATTGAGTGCACAAGAGAGCATTACACTACATTTGGTCTGTTACACAAGCGACATGTTCCAGCTCTGAGAACTAAAATAAATGGTCATTATTATCTATCGCAGTCATTCAGCGACCAAGGCTTTCTCTGAATCCCACGAACTTTACAGCCGCAGCTGCGTGGCCCAAAGTCGCCTCCAGAGAATTCGGATGAAACTCATGGCGGGCGGGTTCACACGACGGTCAAATCCAGGGCAGACCCTTCACGATTGTCACAGCGGCTCTTCACTCGGGCGTCTCAGAGTTCGCAGAGGGAGCTGGAGAGGCAGTTCTGCTTTGACCACGATCGTTTCATCCATGACACGCTGCACTTCGTCTGTTGCAGTGAGGCAGCTGCACAACGAGTTCCTGCGAGCTGGCGCCGACGTGATGCAGACCTTCACGTTCTACGCCAGCGAGGACAAGCTTGAGAACCGTGGCAACTACGTGACCAAGAAGATCTCCGTGCGTACTGGGTGGCCGGGTTCTGCTCCTTTTGCCCTTAAACCCTTTGAGGTCATGATGTACGCTTCAAATGCCGTCTAAATGTACAAGTTACAAAAATACGAACCTAACGTTGTCAAGTTTTCATCCTCCCCAACCACAGCAATATTAAATGTAAGCAGAGTCCAGTCAAATAACTAACATGTTGCATCTGCATGGAGTTCAGCGTGTGTAACGTGCAGTGTGCACCCAGATATTGAGTTTGTTTCAGCTGCTGTTTGCGATTTAATGTTCACAAATCGGCCATTGGCCCTGGTGGTTGAGCCTCAATAGCACGGAGGCTCAACAGCACTAGAGTTGAGCGTCGTGAGCGTCGCGAGCGAGTGAGCGAGCGAGAGTTCTCGCTGTCGGCCTCTCAGAGCGCGAAGGTGAACGAGGCGGCGTGCGAACTCGCCCTGGAGGCCGTCTCGGGCACGGCGGCCCTGGTGGCCGGCGGGGTGAGCCAGACGCCGTCCTACCTGAGCAACAAGAGCGAGACCCACGTCAAGGCCATCTTCCGGCAGCAGCTGGAAGTCTTCGTCCGCAAGCAGGTCGACTTCCTCATCGCCGAGGTGGGCGACGCGACGCGTCTCTGCCGACTTCGCCGGGGAAGGACAAACTTGACGTTGCGTAACGCTCCTTTGGCCTGCCAGCCTTCCGGCACAATGCATTGCTTCAACAGGGCAAACTCGGGTGGTTGTATTCGCACAGTGCTACGCTCGGTACTCTGTATTCTACACTGTTTGTGATGCTCTGTGTGGTGTGACACGTCTGTCGATGTAGGACTTTGGAGGCAAAGGTTGGTTGACCACATATAGATGTGTATGTTAATGCATTGCTATCAATGTATTAACATACAAGCCCTGACAAAATGATTGAAATACATCCCATTGCCAATTTGGTAGATTTTTTGAGGTCACATTGGCTAATTTCTGTCAAAGATTGAACTATAAATGACCATTGCTCCGCACATCACAGAACAAGACGGTCACCTTCTTGTGCCACTGAAGATGATCGTCCCCACCACAGCAGTGGCTCCCAACATTTCTTATGGATTTGCAGACCACTCTCCACCCGTGAAATACCACGCACCCAAACCCCCCCCCCCCCCCCCCCCCCACCTCGTTTTCAGAACGACAATAACTGAACACAGCGACAGCCGCAACGGCTCCGCACGGCCACCTCCTGCGGCCTGGCCGAGTCCGCGGCAGTGCGGCCGCGAGTGGCGGGCTGGGCACGGCCCCTCCAGGGGGGAGCCGCCACGCGCGGGGCTCGCGCGCGGAACTCGCGCGCGGGGCTCGCGCGCGGGGTTCACGGGCGGGGCTCCCGGGCGGGGCTCGCGCGCGGGGCTCACGCGCGGGGCTCACGCGCGCGCACGCCGTGCGAGTGCGCAGTACTTTGAGCACGTGGAGGAGGCGGTGTGGGCCGTGCAGACGCTCAAGGAGACGGGGATGCCCGTGGCCGCCACCATGTGCATCGGGCCCGAGGGCGACCTGCACGGCGTGTCCGCTGGCCAGTGCGCGGTTCAGCTCGTCAAGGCTGGTGCGTGCGTGTGTGCGTGCGTGCACACCCCTGAAAATCTCCACTGCATGGTCACATCTCCAAGGCTATCCTACCATATTATTTTCTGAATTTTCAAGTTACTTAGCAATAATTACCAACGATTAACCATGCCTGTGACGAAATCCTAGCATCATCTGAAACCACATCTCAGTAAACATGCGACGTTGGCCCAACGTTGCATGATTATCGTGAAAAACTCGAAAGGTCACAAGCCTCATTGTAGTTGCTTGGTGAAAATTCCTGCTGTCAGCCGACAACAGCAACAACAATCGTCATTCCCCGGGTGCACTTTGGGACCATCGCTTGAAGGGTGGAGGGCCCACTGGCGGAAGGTAACGGGAACGGGACACACCCAGGTGCCAATTTATCCGCCAGCGCTCTGCTCGTTGTTGTGAGCCGTCTGAGCCACACGGTAACACGTATATATGTAAGTATGTTGAACTTCTTTCGCACCGTACGTAACCAACACAAAAACACACAGACATTACCCCCCCCTCCCCCACGTGTGAACGCGACGCCACTAACAAACCGGGCGCACGCTCGCGTCTCCCCCACAGGGGCCGACATCGTGGGTGTGAACTGCCACTTTGACCCCAGCACTTCCCTGCGCACCGTGAAGCTGATGAAGGAGGCTCTGCAGGCGGCTGGGCTCAAGGCGCACCTCATGACGCAGCCGCTGGGCTTCCATACGCCCGACTGCAACAAGCAGGGCTTCATTGACCTGCCCGAGTTCCCCTTTGGTGCGCCACACACTCGTGGGGCGCCCGCCGTCGGCAAACTCTCTCTGTCTCTCTCTCTCGCACAACAGCACCACCAGCTGCTCAGCACACTCTCTCTGTCTCTCTCTCTCTCGCACAACAGCACCACCAGCTGCTAGGCACTCTCTCTCTCTCTCTCGCACAACAGCACCAGCAGCTGCTAGGCACTCTCTCTCTGTCTCTCTCTCTCTCGCACAACAGCACCATCAGCTGCTAGGCACTCTCTCTCTCTCTGTCTCTCTCGCACAACAGCACCACCAGCTGCTAGGCACTCTCTCTCTGTCTCTCTCTCTCTCGCACAACAGCACCACCAGCTGCTAGGCACTCTCTCTCTCTGTCTCTCTCGCCCAACAGCACCATCAGCTGCTAGGCACTCTCTCTCTGTCTCTCTCGCACAACAGCACCATCAGCTGCTCGGCACTCTCTTTGTCTCTCTCGCACAACAGCACCATCAGCTGCTCAGCACACTCTCTCTGTCTCTCTCTCTCGCACAACAGCACCACCAGCTGCTAGGCACTCTCTCTCTCTCTCTCGCACAACAGCACCATCAGCTGCTCGGCACGCTCAGCGCGGCCGCTCAGCGCCGAGGGAGCGCCCATGCTGTCGAGACAGCAGCGCGAGTTGACGAATGTGTCGAGTTGTTGTTTTCGTTATTTGCGCTTATGCGCCGCTGCAGTCGCAGCATCGCCAAATCACTTGTTTAATTTTGCAGGAAAGGGTCGATATGGTAAATGGATTATTGAATCCATCTTGCATGGCCTTTTAAAAGTTATCCCTTCGTATGTGTGGGTTTCCTCCAGGTAAACTTGTTCCTTCCACATGCAAAACACTTGAGAGTCAGGGAGGCTAATAATATCACATTATTATAATTATTACTTTGTTTCTTCCCATGCTTATATGAGCACTGAGCAGGGTACGTCTCCATCGGGAGCCCTGAAACAGAATGGAAATTCCACATTCCTGATCAATATGAAAGTCAGCAATCATCACATTTAGGTGAAGGGCTTTTCAGATGTTCCTTGGACTGGGGACACAGGGTCACGAACCCAACTCAGCACCACCACAACAACAACAACCGCCGTTCACCACTAAGTGGCATTGGCGTCAACGCAGCGTTTGTGCCAGGCTAGATGCACTTTAAGGCCACGTGAAGTGTCGAAGGCCCGCTGGCAGGAGGTCACATAGCAGACTCAAGTGCCATGGGTTGACTGACTGAGATGACTGACAAACGCACCAACTGCGCTCCCCAACTGTGCCAACTTTCTGCGTTTTAGCACCATGAGCATGGACAAACATCCCCCGTGTCGCCTGAACAGAACTGTTGGGTCAAGTGCCGTTAGCGAGCGGCACCTATGAAGAAGACACCACACGCGCACACGGTTCGGAGTCGCGTCGACATTGCTCGACGCTCGTGCCGTGTCGCCCCCCCCCCCATGCACCTCCAGCGTTGGAGCCGCGGATATGCACTCGCTGGGAGATGCACAGGTACGCGCGCGAGGCGTACGCGCTGGGCGTGCGCTACATCGGGGGCTGCTGCGGGTTCGAAGCGTACCACGTGCGCGCCATGGCCGAGGAGCTCGCCGTGGAGCGCGGAAGGCTGCCCGCTGCGTCGGAGAAGCATGACAGCTGGGGCGCTGGGCTCGGCATGCACACCAAGCCCTGGGTTCGCGCCAGGTATGCGACTCGCGGGGATCGCGATGTTGTTGTGTTTGTCGTGGAGGAATCCCGATGCGCTGTGAAGCTCTTGTTTCACAGATGTCCGTTGAGGGGCACGGGGTCAGAACGTCTGCTGGACATCGATGAAAAAAAGAGCTTAATAGCTCATCGGATTCCTCCAGTATCAATACATAGTCAGATTACATCACCAATACAAAACACGATAGGAGTGCAGAGCAAAGGCAATATAAACAAATAACTTACAAAACATTTGTATAGATACAACTTTATATATATTGTTTGATCTTACCAGGAAAGCCCCACTGTGCTATTAGCTTCTTTTTCAGAAGCGACCTAACAATCACAAACGATAGCTCGACAAAGTGGCTTAACATGTTGAACTTCATTCGCACCGTACGTAGCCAACCGTGCTAGTCGGAGGTGCGGGTGAAGGCCAATGAACTCAACACACGAAGCTCACAGGCGATTCTCACCCGTCACAACCTCTGGTTATTGATCACACGATTCACACCGACATGGCTTTGCTGCCGTGTTCTTTGCCGAGAGGTGCCTGTGCATTCAAACGGTGGCCTTTGTTAATCGCTGGTCGGTGCCCGCGAATCTTCAAGTCTCCCGTGGCACACGTGTGTGCATTTGTGTGTAGCACCTCCCCCACATGGCACATCACCGCATAGTTCAAGGTTTAAACGGAATGGGCCTCTGAATCCACTTGGCAGTGTCTCCCACCGCTTGTTAGGCCAGGCCAGAAGAGAGGTTGGTCTGATTAGGTTGTTGCATCTTAAGGCGGATTATTATGTTTTATTAAGTACTTAGAAAGGTACTTTTCAGTTTCCCATTATTGGACATTCATACACTGGTGGGTATTTGGTTTTTCAGTTGCTTTATATGTACAGGACAAGCATGTGTGTGTATATTAAATTAAATATCCAGTACCCTTTAAACCCAAGCAAAAGCTGACCGAGTTCCCCAAACGTTTATCTCAGCCGGATTCCCGTCGAACCGAGCCGGGCTGCCGCTCACGACCTGCGGTTGTTTTGTACCGCAGGGCCCGCAAGGACTACTGGGAGAAGCTAGAGCCATCCACGGGGCGTCCATTCTCCTGCGCCTGCTCTCACCCCGATAGCTGGGGCATCACCAAGGGCCATGCGGACCTGGTGCAGCAGACAGACGCGACCACTGAGAACCAACTCAAGGCGCTGTTCACCTCGCAGAAGAGCAAGGGCAGCAAGGCCGTCTAGTGCCTGCAGGGGACACGGCCTGGCGCTGCACACGCTCGCTCTGAACCCCCACTCCCCCCGTTACTCCTAACGCTCCCTCCACCGTCAATTCTCGCACACTTAATAATACCGCCACTTCTTCACTCGTGATGCCGCTGCGAGAAAGCACGTGTAAATTAGAATGCATTAAAGTGCTACTGCATTTGACGCTGAAAATAATGGTGCTGTCTTTTCGCGTGGTGCGACGAGTGTTTGATTTCTTTCCCTATAATGCATTAAAGTGCAATTGAATGTGCCGCTGAAAATATTGGTGCTGTCTTTTCGCGTGGTGCGATGAGTGTTCGATTTCGTTGCCTCGCCCCCCCCGCATCCTCTCCGCGAGGGTTGCCCGCCACGACACCCGAGTCGAGCACCGGGCACGTGGACGCTTGGCACCACGCCACGTCCCGTCCGCTCTCACGTTGTAGAATGACATACACAAAACGAGCTGCACGTTCTTCCTTTTGCAGAAAGATGACACTTGAAGTCGAAGTAACGTGCAGCAGTATCTCTCGGCGCCGTTGTAATTGATTGGCTTGACGACATAAGCGAATGGTGCCAGAAAGATGCACGAACGACTTGAGCACATTGGCACAAGACGGAACGAAAGTGGAAACAAATCACGACACGTGCAGTGGACACCTACGGGCTATTTGCCCATGGATCGTGATGATGGTGATGAAGAATGACACTTTATTCATTTTGGCAAAGTATCCGGGGCAAACCGAACCGTAGTGTTGAAGGGCGGGGTGGTGGGAGGGGTTGGCGAAGTTCTTGAACGCAACCTACAGAATCGTCGAGCTGACATGAACGAAATACTGTCCTGTAGGAGCAATAAAAAAAAAAGTTTTTATCACAACTCAACGCGAGTCCTGTAGGAGCAAGCGCGGATCACAGAAGGGGAAACTCCACGCTGAGCAGCAGCCCGAGTGCGGTGTCACGGGGCCAGGTGGGAACCGCGTGCGAGGGAGTACATGAATGTGTATATGGAGAAGGGGGGTAAGGAGGGAGATTACTGACATACAGATCTGGGAGAAATAGAAAGGGACGCGGAGGGAGGGGGGCAAAATAGAGGAATCGTGTTAACAAAAACCCTGGAAATAAAATGCAGGGTGCTTCAAAAACATGCGAACACTTACATGGCCATGATGGAAAAGAAAGAATGGACAATGCACTGTAACATAACAAATGTAATTTTTGATTTAAAGCTTGCGTGACTGCAGGGATTCATATTATTGGTTCTTTCGGTAAAGTCACGGAGAATGGAAACAAAGTAATAATTATTATGTTTTATTTTTATTACTTTGTTTCCATTCTACGTGACTTTACCAAAAGAACCAAGAAGATGAATCCCTGCAGTCACGAAAGCTTTAAATCGAAATATTGTTTATTATTTTTTATTTTGTTTCCCTTCTACGTGACTTTACCGAAAGAACAAAGAAAACAAATGTAATGTTAATAGCTTCAAAAAGTCAAAGAGTCTCCCACTGGTTCGCCATCATTGTCAACACGCCTGGAATCTTCTCCAGGTGCTCCAGAGCCCGGAGGCAGCAGCACATTTATTGTGGTATCGTTGCAAATTCTCCGAAGTGTTAACATTGTTTTTGATCACCCTGTACCATACACGCGACACATGAACCACAGTGCTAACGTGGCTCTGCTGCCGCCCGTCCCCTCGACACGACCTCCTCACGCACGCACCTCGTTTTAGACTCTTGTAGGAAGTCGTTGAGCTGTTGGTACCGCACGAGACGAACTCGCATAGCCCTTGCCATGTGACGAACGCGATGGACGGACTTTAGGAACAAGGTTCACAACCGCAGGCGTTCAAGGATGCCAAGCAGAGGGAAGTTGTGATTGGTTCATGTGAGGCTCAAGAGCGGCGTGGGTCACCCAAAGGTGACCAAGAGCACAAAACACAGAAACGGGCATAGCAATGCAGCGCCGCAGAAGATATAAATAAAAAATAACCAAATGGATCTCAGTAAAAAAAAAACACATCAACCGCATTACAGAAGGAATCGAAAACATTGGTTGATGTCAGAGGCAGGCTGTGCAAGATTCACTGTCATTAAATTTACACAAGATACAATGAAATTTTGATTTTAAGCTTTCGTGACTGCAGGGATTCATATTCTTGGTTCTTTCGGTAAAGTCACATAGAAGGGAAACAATAAAATAATAAAAATATAAAACAATAAAATTCTCACGACGTTTCGACTGCAACACAAGCAACCATCATTAGGTGTGAAAACCACAGCAAGAAATTTGAAAAAAATGCCGTTTTTTAACGTTAGCACCACGGAGAGCGATTTGGCAGTTATTCAGATGGACGAGTCCATCTATGTTCGCAAAAGAGGAGGGGGAGACGAAAATAATGGATGCGGTCTGAAAGCCACCGTAAGCGTCAACAATCAATTAAGACCCGAAATGGTTCATCAAATCCTTCCAATGATTGCTAAGCCAGAATCAATTAAGAACCGAAATGGTTTATCAATCCTTCCAATGATTGCTAAGCCAGAATCCATCTTCTTGGTTGAAATTGTCTCTGTATTTGTATATGTGGATAGCCTTATGAACGAATCTCTCATGGTAGCCAGATGGCTTACAAAGAACCTCTGTTTTGGAGAAATCAATGTCATGTGAGCCTACTGAATTATAACAGTGATCTGCCACGGCCGAGGTGTTGGTCCTACCGTGTTTTAAGTCTGCTTTGTGTTCACGAATGTGGTCCGAGACGTCGTTTGGTTTCTCCAATGTAACTACTACCACAGAGGCAATTTAGTTTGTAGACGCCAGGGTACTGTATGTCCGGAATCACATCTTTTACAGACGGAACCAGATCAAGAATTTCGATTTAAAGCTTTCGTGACTGCAAGGATTCATCTTCTTTGGTTCTTTCGGTAAAGTCACGTAGAATGAGAATAAAATAATAAATTGATAAAATAAAATAACACAATAATATTCTCACGACGTTTCGAATATAGAGTTTATTGATAACATTAAGGTAATTTATATTTTAGTTTTTTATTGGTTCACTATATAGTATTCATTATATATTGTATTGTATACCCAGTTACTGTGAATAGCTCAGATGTGTAGGCCTTGACTTCAACATAGCCATTTCTGTGACCAGTCACTAGCTAATCACTCAGTTATTTCAATGCTAAATTCGCCTAGTTATTTAAATGCTAAATTCTCCTGTTTGATTTGTACTAGGTGCCTCGGTGAATGTGTATGCTCTGACTTTAACATAGCTATTTCTGTGACCAGTTACAAGCTAATCACTCAGCTATTTCAATGCTAAATTCTATGCTAATTCCTTTGTCAAGGGGTGCCTCTGCGGATGTGTATGCTTTAACTTTAACATAGCCATTTCTGTGACCAGTCACAAGCTAATCACTCAGCCATTTCAATGCTAAATTATATGCTAATTCCTTTGTCAAGGCGCTTTGTTTCTTCTCACACAGCTTAAAGGTCGTGATCTGAGCGTGGCTTTTTCACTCCAGCGCTGTCCTACCAGACAGTCTCGTCCCTTCACCTGATGAAGGCCGCTTGTGTTGTGGCCGAAACGTCGTGAGAATATTATTGTGTTATTTTATTTTATCAATTTATTATTTTATTTTAATTCTACGTGACTTACCGAAAGAACCAAAGAAGACAGATCAAGGATTTTATGTAATGTGTTGAATCGGACCTGGATCCTGTGTTTATTCAAGATACAATTAATTATACTCCGGACATTTTTTTCGTAAATATTACAGCTTCCGTCCTAGGATGGGCACACAAGCTCGTAAAACTATAATCGGCGACCCGTTGTGGATGCAGTTTCCATGAACAGTTTTGTGCTATGAAGAGCTATTTCCCGAAACGTCGTCTATTATATATTATTTATTTTAGGGCAACAAACAGTGTGATTGACGAATGTGTTCGGAATAGTTTTTTTTATACGAAGAATTTGAAGTTACACAACTTCCAAACTCCTCATCCGTTTTGGTTCAAGCAAGCCTGACTGCTAACGATGAGACGGAATGTCGAAAGAGTGCTCATGGAACTATGCACTCCCAGAGGGCTGTGTAGCTGAATGTGTATTTTTTGTTTAGTGGCGTGATGTCTCGTTTTTAGCTTGTTATAATTACAGTAGTTTGCTATACCGAATTCTCATCGACGCTGTGGATCGGGGTTGACCCCCCAGGTAAGATGGCCGCCCTTCACCCTAGGTAAGATGGCCGCCCTTCACCCCTAGGTAAGATGGCCACCCTTCACCCTAGGTAAAATGGCCGCCCTCACCCTAGGTAAGATGGCCGCCCTCCACCTCGACCTGGTGACGCGTATTGCGGCGTGCGCTTTACTTTCGCCCCACGTGGCTTCCCGTTCAGTCCCACGTGGTTCCTGTCACACCGACACGAGCCGTGAAGACGACGATGATGCTGAGGTTACCGCGACTGCTGGCGCTGCAGGTGAGACGACGTGAGGCGGGCGTGGGGCAGCGGCGGGCGCGTCCGAGCGTTCCCGAGTGCTGGGCACTGCACTCTTCTCGGCCGGATCCCCCAATCCAGTCCCCGACCCCCGCTGCCGCGTGCCCTGGGCCGACATGGAGCCGCGCGCGCCTCTGGTGTAGACTCCCCACAGCGAGCGGTCGCCTCTTGATTACCCCGCGCCGCGACCATCGGGGGCCGCGTGGGCCCGGGCTCGCGCCGGCCAACAGCGAGCGTGGAGCCGCTGACTCGGGCGTCGTCCGCGCTGCGATATCAAAACGGCTGGGGGCGACGAGCGGAGACGATAAGCCGGGTCGGTGAAGGGGAGAGAGGACTGGGAGAGAGCTGAGAGGAAGGGAGCGATGAAGACGGAGAGAGACGTGGAGAGGGTTGAAGAGGGGGGAGGGAGAATACGAGAGGAGTCGTGAGAAAGGGATGAGGGGAGAGACGGGATGGGGCTGAGGTGATGAGGGGATTTGGTGGTCGCGATGCTGAGGCTGAGCGGTGCCGGTTGCCGGGGGCCGCAGCAGCTACAGCTGTTGCAGGGTTGCGGGGCGCGCTGATGTAAGTCGCGGAAATCATCCCTCACGCCTACGGCGCTCACCTCACAGCCGTGGATAGACCTCCATACAGCCGTGGGTTGACAAGGGGCTGTGAATAAATAAGTTTTCATATAATTTGTGTAAATCATTAAAAAAACCCACAGTTCAAGCAATGTATGCATCACGACTGCCAGCTTTGAATCGTTGGACCAATTCACCACGACGTGTCAAATGCACTTTAAAAATGTATACAGTATTTGTCTTTCCCCCCATTTCTTCTCGATTGCGCAATCTGTGTCATGCTTCCACACGACTCCATCTCCAGTGGAGCTTTACAACCATTTAGGCATCCTTCACGTGACCTCTGGTCTGCTGCACATGAAGAGGGGGAGGAATCCCTGACCCACCCACTGCACATGAGAGTACTTGTCATGATTGGTCGCATGACACATGATCCTTGCCCCCTCTGCGCTCTGCGTGTGTGTGCAGCATGCAGTGCGTGGAGCGCTGCATGCTGCACGTCCCCTGCTGTGTGGCGCAGGGCCCGGGCCGGGCTCCCCGCGTTGGGCCTCCTCGCTGCCCATGAACACGGCCGTGCTGTTCGTGCCCGAGCAGGAGGCGTGGATCATCGAGCGCATGGGACGATTCCACCGCGTACTCCGGCCGGTGCGCTGGCGCTCAACGTCCTCTCTCCCCACTCCCCCACGCCCCGCGGCTTACCAGGAACATTCAGTCGACAGACGAATGGCCCTCGTGTTATAGTTGTTGCGGTTTTATAATGTTATTCCCAAAATTACTCATTTCCCACTCCCGCCCCCACCACGGCACCATTAAAATGTGTTGCCAGTAACACTGGCGTTAAATGAAAAATTAGCCGTACAAATTATAACTGAGACAACCAGATCGCTGTATGAGGCAGTATTTAAAATTGCAAATAATGTGGGAAGTTATGAATTCGTGTCATCTGTACTAAAAATTACTCCATTTGAATGAATCCATAACGAAACAATCCAGCAATTTGTGGTCGCCTCTCATTGGTTGAGGTAGTCCAATCGATTTGGTAAATACTGGTAGGTCCTTGTGATGCTGAATGTATTTCAGCATTGTCACAAACGGTAACACTGAAATGAACAGATCGCGTAAATATATAAATGTGTCGTTAAACCCGCCACCACCTGACACAGCCAACTAGTTAGGGTTGTCACGTAAACAGAACATGCCAGAACGTGCCAATTCGTCACGAGTACAGCACAACGGTGTGCTGGAGAGCCAAACCACAACATTTACAATCGTCGTGTGGTGGTGGGTTTAATGACACATAAACCCAAAATAATATTACGGATGATATTGGTTGCGTAAGCCTACTACGTGTTAAACTAACATTCTATCCTTGTCTGTTGCCCTTGGTGGTTCTCTCTTGCAGGGTTTGAATCTTCTGATCCCGATAATCGACAGAATAAAGTACGTGCAGAGCTTGAAGGAAATAGTCATCGACATTCCCGAGCAGTCTGCCATCACCCTGGGTGCGTGTTCACATTTCAGGTGCTGTTTGCGTTGTCTAGGATGTGTTCCAAAGAGAAACCCAGATGAAATGCCCCTCCCCCAGTGGCCCCACTATCAATACAGTACAATTTACAATCAAACTTGCATTTCAAGAAACAAAATTAAGGACATTTTGCCAAGAAAAGCTAGGGACATACTTTAATGTGTCCAGGCAGGCTCTCTGCAAGCGTCGCTGTCAGCTGCAATCTACTGGTTGAATGCTCCTTACACTTTATTTCTTTGAAGCGTGCCCGTGTTAGGACAAAGTGGCGTTGAAGCCTGTAATGTGCTCTAAGACTGCAATGCTACGTTCTGACTCGCTGTCCTTCCTTAATTGTGAGCCTCGTGCATCTGTAGAATTTGTTCGGGTTCAATGCTCACACCTACACTTTTATTCCTCTCCCATGAAATCAAATTCTCGTTAAAAAATTTGTTGAAAAAGCGAATCGGTGAAATGTATTTTTGGAGGATCATAATGGAAATTGTTGAGGCTTGGTGAGGTTTTTCAATTTGCCCTGCCAAAATAATCCTGCCTCTGTTTCCTTTTAAAAAATGAAGACAATTCCGATGTTTTTGAAAAACAAATTTGGAACGCGCTCCTGTTTTATAATTTTTTTAATTGGAAACTATTTACAAGCGAGTATATGCATGTGTACAAGGGAATCAATACACTCTAGAATAGCACGTTTACTTGTGGACTCTCGTGGTGACCAATGAATGTCGTGCATGGTAAACTGTAGAGTTACCAAGACAATAGCGTGGAGAGTGAGGCGATATTTCTTACCTGATGACGATTGCTTGTGTTTCAATCGAACCGTAGTGATATATTTTTTATTATTTTATCTATCTACGTGGCTTTACCGAAAGACCCAAAGAATAGTGAGGTGAGCGTGTGTCTGTGTTGTGCCAGCAATCAGAGGAAGTCCCTTAGAGTTGTGTGGTCATTTGGAGTCATGCTGCCTCTAAAAAGCAGGAATTAAAATGTTCCAAATGTGTATTATTTGCAGATAATGTTACACTACAACTGGATGGTGTGTTGTACCTCCGCATTATGGACCCGTTCAAGGTAATCCCCTCAGTCGAGATCCATGGTTTGTGTACGCCACTCTGGGTGTTGATTAGGTCACTCCAAATCATATTTACCAGTGAAATTTTAAAAAAGTTTTTAAAAATGTTTACTGGTGGCAGGGCTGTTATTGCCGAATACAATAATAAGGAATGGGCCAAACATCCAAAATATGATGTGCATCTTATAATCCTGGGAATATTGTTGTACATTGTTCTCTCATTAATAGTGATTGAAATTCCACGATTGGATGCCTGGATCCTATGTGTTTTGAGACTATCTGACCCAGCACATTTAATCACTATTGCACAGCACAAATACATTCGAATTTTGTTGGTACTGTTACTTTGGTCACAGTATTTTACTGGTTTTCTGATATTTGAACAGTATTCAACATGTGTTGCAATGCCCTGTGATATGCTGTATAACTGCATTAAAATTCTAATGTGCTAAACGTAGTTTTATTGGTTTATGCTCAAGCAAGTATGGTGCCATGCACATCTCCATTACTACCTGAAGCCAGCTATGGAAATTCCATATTCATATGGCAAGGGCATTTTTTTTCCTTGGGTCAACCACTGTTGACCCGCAAAGTAGTGCTCATTTTTTCGACCCCAGATGGTTAAGTGGCACAGTCGACAACCTGACTGCGATTTGAAATAACAATAATCCGATTTGCGCTAAGGTATTCCACAATGCGTGACGCACCTTTCCACGTGTGATGTGCTTGAATTGGTCGCGGCGTTAATGTCCAGAGATGCCGGTTGACGAGCTGCGGCTGTGTGCGGTGCGTGTCACTTGGTAGGCGAGCTACGGCGTCGAGGACCCCGAGTACGCCGTGACCCAGCTGGCTCAGACCACCATGCGCTCCGAGCTGGGCAAGATCGCGCTGGACAGCGTGTTTAAGGTGCTTGCACAACATGAGCCCATGTAGACGAGCATCACCCCGACTGCTTGGGCTGTACCTGCACCTAAGTGTCCCCGTGGCTTTAAAAGTGGGCCTGTGGCATTCACAGTAGGCCAAGCTGACCCCAGACGTACATTCTCACTTCAAAGAGGTTGACTGAAATACCGAACCACGACAAATTTACAAATGTGTATATTTTTTTTATTTTAGCATTGTAATGTGACCTTTCTTTACGTGAAGTGTTTATTAAATACATGAGATTATATTCTACAAAGCTTTTTGCCTGCTTCATACCCATGGCTCCCTGACCTCTCCTAGATTCATACCCAGTACAAGCGCCCCCTTTGTGTCAGTCACAATGCCATGGAGCGAGGCGGGTGGGTGGTCAGCTGTTTGTGGTAGTCATTTGTTCCGTTGCATCGTCAAACATTTCTAGTGACATGGAATGGGTCACTACGTAGCATAGCGCGGGTTGCTGGCAGAGAAGGGGATCTGCAGTGGCAGCAGCCCTGTCAGCAGGTCACGTGATAAGCCAGAGAGAGGGATGTAGGGGAAAGGTGATAGAGGGGGCACGTGAGGTAAGCCCGGGAACCCGCGAGTAGGTTCTAGAAGGGGTGCGTGGCCGGGGCGGAGCGAGGCCACGCTGGGAGGATAAAAGGGGATCCCGAGCGAAGTTTCGGGGCTGTTGCCTGGAGTGGGATCTCCTCATCGTGCTGCTGGAGTCTTCGTCTGGGTCTTCACCTTCTCTGCGTCGTCAGTCAGGCAGTCTGCCAGCTGTCCTGACTGGGAGCTGTAGTTGCTTTGTGTGGATTGGGAAGGATGTTAATAAATAGAGTGCCTCCTACTGCTAGTGTCTCTGAGTGCGTCACTACACATTTGTAAATTGTAATCTCAACTAAAGCTATGCATGCAAATACAAATCCAACTCAATTTCATAGAGATGCCTGCAAATACTCGTCTAGAATTCCCCTGCCGGGCTTGGGTGAGCTCTTTGAGCTGTGGCGTCTTGGGACAGAAATTAAGGTGGAACAAAAACGTCCTTGGCTTAAATAAATTGTATATAAAATGTAATATGTCTTGTATGAAATTAATTAATGGTGTGTATCTGCTTAAAACAACATGCAAGTTTATGTTTGCTTGCAATATTTATAACAAATGAAAAAAAAACAGCTGAGTGCTCTTTTAGCACTCGTCTGAAAAGGATACCATCATCACTTTTATGGGCCATATAAACTTTTTGTACAACAGTTTTTCCACCTTGGGGATATGTGGTCTGTGCCCACAGGCTAAAAGTATATTATTGATGCATGTGAGCGCACCATTTGGAGTGATAAGTTCCAAGCTTTGTTTAACCAGGTGAGAAGTCGAGAGGACCGGATGGTCTCGTTTGCAAAATTTACGTTGGTTACCAAAATGACAAAAGAAATAAAATAAAAGTACAATAATGAAGCAAATATAAATCATAGCAGAGACGACCAATTAGAAATCGGAGCAAGTACAACAGCGTTACAGAAGAAACGATAACGGTGAACAAATATTTACGTCAAAATGAAATACATTTCTTGGAATGAAATTTGGCTTGGACAAATGATGTTTATAGTTGCTTGGACAGACCTCGTCCAGAGAAGTGGCCCCGGCGCTTGTGATGACGACGTATCCAAGAGAGTCATCCCGGTGTTGTTTTCATGTGGAGACGCTTCCCTCGTAGACGTTACGGGTTATTGACAAGACCAGTAGCCGGCTGCACGTCGTCCAATGCTCGGTTGTTGCCATGAGAGGGCAGTGCTGCCTTTCATTGAGTTCCATATTTACCCACGTTACAGTTCCGTTGCTTATATTATTAGATTTTAGAAGAGAAAGATTTGTCCATTTGTTTATTTCCCACAGTCCTGGTGCATGATGAGTTTAGTACAATACTGTATACTATATATAAAATGTAGTGAAGCTCTTCATGACCATTATTGTCTTTGTTTATGATGCATGATTCAATGCCCCACCTCCGGGAACACGGTTGCAGATGAACGTGTTATCAACGTTGACGCGTCAGCGCTTTGCGATGTGGATGACGTCGCGATGCCGTGTGTCCTGCACAGGAGAGGGAGTCTCTGAACGCCAACATTGTGGAGGTGATTAATGGGGCGGCCGAGGTATGGGGCATCCGTTGCCTCCGCTACGAGATCAAGGACATGGAGCTGCCAACGCGCGTCAAGGAAGCCATGCAGATGCAGGCATGTTACAGCAAATATGCACGTTCCAGCTTGTACACACTCGCCTTACACACAGTAAGGGCAGTATTGCATTTGGCAACACGCACATATATTACAATAAGCATATTTAGGCACAAACAATTTTCAAGGGAGGCTCCTGGATGCCGGATTCGAGTTTGCCGGTATATGAGGCAAGCCAGAAATGCTACCAAAATAAAAATGTGATAAAATTTTTACTTGTAAATCTCTAACCGGGATACTGTTCACTCGCTAATTAAGGGGCACACGGTGTGGATGTGGCTTAAGGTTATCTATTGTGGGTAATTCAAGATGTGCTTATAAAGACTAGGAAGTGTACGATGCTGTGGCAATGTGGAATTTCGACCACGTGTTTAGTTTCCTAACGGCGGTGAATGTTGATTCATCTCTGTTGGGGCAGGAAGACACTTTCACCTTGATGATTTACTCGAGTCCCATCTTGACTCGGCCACGTGGACACCGCACGTGACATTTTTTGTACGCAATGTTACCCGGACCTCAAGGACAAAGCAGAGAGGCATTTTGACATCGCTTCCATTTGGATGATGCCGCATGCGTTCCTGTGAAAATATGGCACGTTTTACGGATCATAAGTCAGTGGTGGAAAAAAATGAGATCTTGCAATCACTTGACATGAAGGGTCACGGCAAATGGCCCCCATTAGCTCTGGTAATGTTAAGGCTGAATGGCTCTGGGGTATTGTAAGTTATTACGTAGCTGCGTATTAGTGGACAAAGAGTCAGAGGGCAGGGCAGGATACGGTTACCGTGCCCCGCATGATAAGCAGCACTCTGTGGTGAGAATGGTTACGGTTTGACGCAGTTGCTCATAACTATTGCGTTTATTAGTGTCAATTGTCAACACGCGTGTGGCGTAGAATGGGTTTGTTGTGTGCTTGGGGTCTGTTTTATTACCCTAAATAAATAATACATTTTTATAACCATAAATTAATCACTAAATAACCCAGTAAAAGGGTCTTCCTGCCCATATGAGAACTCCCCTTACCTATGATCCTATTACCCTCAATTCCTATTATCTGCAGGATCTAGAGGGGCTGTGAAAACTAAATATTTCTCACCACTATTCAGATGATATAGTACACAATTTCTCCCATCCTGCATGTTGTAACGGTTGCCTTATTCACAGTGATACTGGTTTTATTCACCCTGGAGTGATCATGGCCCGAGCTGACAACTCACCTGCCTTGAGTTTAACTTTTAACCTTCTGTTTGTGAGTCACGTGCTCTAAAAGTCTAATGCAGTGCTCGGGTTAAATGAGTGCATGTAGATATCCACTTTACAATGCAATTACATAATTCTGCTGTTGCGAATTATGCAGCTGATGGTGCTAATAGTGATATTGCTGTTGGATGTATAATGCTGCTAGATGTGACCACATCTCAGGATGCTGTACAGGCAAAGTCTGTATATTTTATAGAGAGAAGCAGGAAGTCAGTCAATTCCATGGTACTGGGGCAGAGAGTGTGTGGAGGGGAGTAGAGTGAGGAGAGAGGGGAGAATTTGTGAGATTTGAGATTGGATTGGGAGTCACAGGAGGTTGCTGTGGTTTTGGACGGCACATTTTTAAGCGCCGCTCTCAACCCTTCCCATGCGTCGATGTGCATTTATTGGCTGATGGAATGTCACGGAGCCAGGCCATTAGCACGGTTGGCTACGTACGGTGCGAAAGAAGTTTAACATACATGCATCGCAGGTGGAGGCCGAGCGGCGCAAGCGAGCCGTGGTGCTGGAGTCGGAGGGCATTCGCGAGTCCGACATCAACGTGGCTGAGGGCAAGAAGCGCTCGCGCATCCTCGCCTCGGAGGCTGAGAAGGCGGAGCAGATCAACCAGGCAGAAGGTCGGCTTGGAGGCCCCAACCCCTGCCCACTTGGTTTCTTTACAACTATTCTCTCTCGCCATCCCGGACCTGTTTGTGTTCCACAGGCTGCCACCCTATGCAATTATAATTCCAAAGTTAATGGCTCGTGCAAAACAACTGATAATATGCTGTCTATCAGTGGCATTAGAAAAAGTTTTTATAACAGAATGACTCCTGCCATCTGAATGTGGATTTTCCACCACTGACCTTGGGCGACCAGTACGTGTGAGCATCACGCCATGCTCATCTGAACGTGGGGGACCTGAATTACCAAGTGTGGCAAGGGTTCACAAAAAGCGTTTGTGTAGTCATGTACAAGGAGACGGGGGAGTTTTATATTCTAGTCAGCACAGTTTTTAGTGGTATTGAAATGAAAATCACAAGTTAGGCTAGATGGGTATAGCCCACAGATAGGAAGCTACTGGAGCTATGGATTTAAAGCTTTCGTGACTGCAATGATTCATCTTCTTTGGTTCTTTCGGTAAAGTCACGTAGAATGATATTATGATATTATTGTGTTATTTTATTTTATCAATTTATTATTTTATTATCATTCTACGTGACTTTACCGAAAGAACCAAAGAAGATGGAGCTATGGACTTTAAAATCTAGATTGAAAACTAATTTCGTCAGAACTGCTTTTTGTGTTTAGTTTCTTTTGTCCTTCCCCCACACCTCCGATTAGCACGGTTGGCTCCGTACAGCGCGAAAGACGTTCAACATACATACGTACAGATAGCTGTGAAAAACAAGGAGAAGTGGCAGCACTGCAGGCTTTAAGGTGCTTGTAATGAAAGTGTCAGTTCTATGATGCTGGCACCTCTGCGGGCTCGCGTGAAGCCCATTGAGGCGAGTTGTCAGCGGCGCTGCGAAAATGTAATCATGATATCGAACAGCATGAACGCTTCTCACCTTGTGCATTGTCGAAATTTTATTTTGGTCTGTGCTTGTGTTCCGCATGCTCGGAGATCTCGTGAGAGGATGTGCATTGATTATGGAGCTTTATTAGTACCCTGAATACCAAGCAATCATTTTTTATCCAGCTTTGGCTGGACAAACAGATTGTGCCAATTCATAGGGAGATATGGATTAAGCAAGATTTATATTTATAATACTGTGAAAGTCGAAGCATTTAAAAATATCTTCCACTTTTTCTCTTCTATGGTGGCCGTTCGCCAAGAGAATACGAGCGTAGTGACGCGTGCTTACATTGATGTAAACCGGCAGCTATCCGCGTGGAGCTGAATGTTGTACGTGTGGGTGGATGCTCATGTCGCAGGCCAAGCGTCCGCAATGGTGAAGAAAGCCATTGCAAAGGCGGAAGCCATCACGCGGCTGGCAGAGGCCCTCACGGAGCAGGTACCTCACGAACGCCGTCGCTCGTGATTCGCTTTACACCGGGGGGCGCAAGGGTGGGCGGGAGGAGGGGGCCGCACGGTGACGACCACGACGAGCGTCGTGCCGGCACCGCCGTCGCTCGCTCAGCCCCTCCCTCGCTCCCTCTCTCTCGCAGAACGGCAACATGGCCGCGTCGCTGAGCGTGGCGGAGCAGTACGTGGCGGCGTTCTCCAACCTGGCCAAGGACAGCAACACCATCATGCTGCCAGCCAACACCGGGGACGTCGGCAGCATGGTGGCGCAGGTAGCCGCGCCGGGCTGGCGCTCGGGCTGCGTGCCGGCACGCGCATCTTCCATGCGGCGTGCATCGACGTGTCTCACACTCCACCTTCGTTCATTGCAAGACCCTGCATGCGAAACACGTGGGGTCCGATTCGTATGCCTACAGAGAGGCGGCCAAATTGCTGATTTATAAACGTAAGATGTAGGTCCTCACGGCCAACATTCATAGCGGCCGTGTTGGGTTTGGCCAAGTATTGGTCTGCATAAATGTGTCGTTAAGGCCCTCCAACACCCAACAAACTGTTCACAGGTACAATCATGTAATTGTGCTTACATAGTTTACTTGAAATATAATAATGTTTGATAATGACAGTAATTAGCAAGAGGCAAAGTAAATAAACCAAATCCTCGAAGCCTGCAGATATGCAGGGGACTTTAATCCTCACATTTGTGGAGTGAGAGCTTTATTTCTGCCCTACGTGAAAGGGGGCTTCTGCCTTTTGCATGGCAAGCTGTGCACACAAAGCACGTGGCCTGTCCCATCCGCGGCTCTCTCCGCCCGGCCTTTCTCATTGTAATCAGGGCAGCAGCGGAGGAGGAGGAGCGGCCCCCTCCCCTGCTGCCCTGGACATCGGCACAATGTGTTTGTGGCCGAGGTCACGGGGCCTCTGGGGGCACAGAGGCCGTGCAGCTGAATGGGAGGTGCGTCGGGGCGCAGCTCCTCAGCCGCACTGCCGGTGCCAGCAGCAGCGGTAGCGGCAGCAGTGAGAGCGCGCACACCCATTCTGTCTCTCACAGAATGGCATTCCAGGTCTCTGCTTAGCTTTTGTTTTATTTAGGGTGGTGGGGGGGGGGAAGGCCATTTGTTACAATATTTATAAACAGGTTTAGTGGTCGAAACTAATTCTGGAAACATTGTCCGTGTTTGAAAGCGTTTTCGTGCCAGTGTTTGTGACGGTTGACCTGCTCAGCCGGTCCCTCCCTGTGCGGTCAACAAAATGAGTTCGACTTTTTGAAAATAAAAAAAGGGCATATCGTAGAGGGACTGGCCTCCACTATGAGCACAGGGAATTTCCACCACTGGTTTAGATGAGTATGACCCGATTGCTAATTTAATTTCAGGTAATATATTTTAATCATCCAGGAATAAAACTTGACTGGTAAGTCGCTACCAGTTTATGAAACTCAGTCTAAAAAGTATTGTTATGTTAGGGGCATAACAATTTATGGACTTGAACATTGCTCCATTTGGTAGAGTTAGATGCATTTTCCAAAACTCGTACAGTGTTCTTTCTTTTTAACAATCGTCAAAGTCTACAAGATTGGAGAGTCGGTTATGCACGTCATGTTTTCAATAGTCCAGTTTTATACGACTCAATCCCTGCCGGTATTCAATCTGCATGTTCTTTGTGGCATCCATACAGCTGCGATTTGTGAAAGGGTTTTCATAATTGGTGGCGAACTAAACGCATCGTTTCGTTCAGTTGAACCGGGTGCCTCGCGTGGTGGGGGGCGGGTAGTGGGGGCGGGCCTCCCGAGTCTCGGGCGGTGGCAGACTTTCCCGGCTTCGCGTGACGAGTGATATCCGTGCGGCGTGCAGGCGATGGGGATCTATCAGAGCCTGGGCTCTTCCAGCCTGGTCCAGACGAACCCCAGGAAGCAGAAGAGCGAGCGCCGACCAGAGCCCTCGGATTCCTTCGCTGGTGGCAGCAGTGGAAGCGGCAGCGTCAGCGGCAGCTAGAGCCTGCCGGAAGGCAGCATCCACAGCTTCCTTCCCTCGGCGCGTGTGACCGCCCCTCCACCCTGCGCCTCCACGCACCCGTCTGGCGCTCCACCTCCGCACACTGGGACCGACTCATCATGATGCTGAAGCGGCGCAGGCTTCGTACGCGTCACCCGGCCCGTACTGTTTGTGGCAGCACTCCAATCCTGTTCTGAGAGGCGTCAATTAGAGCAACGAGAGACATTTGTGCAACCACCATGCAGCACTTGGCGTGCTACCACAGCTTTCTTCACAATGAGAACATAACCCTTCCGGCTCGCTGTGGGCCCTGTCGGAACATGATAATAGCTGAATAGATTCATTAAAAAAAAAATTCCCTTGAAGAGCAATTGTTTCAATATTTCTAACTAAATAAAGATACGTTCTTGCTTAATCTGCATTTGTGTTTAAGAGTCCTTAACAGTGCGGTACTGACCAATTCAGCCCTGAAACCAATTCAGCCCCTGAAAGTGCCTTTCCCAGTGATAGCTTGCGTGTTCTGTCCTCTACAAGCAAGAGTAGGCTCTAAATTTCAAACTGGTTTTCATACAGACATAAAGGATCGGTGTATTCTGATACTAATCAAGTCATTGTCATTGCTGTTCACATGTTAACGATACATTGAACTTCTTTTGACTTGTTTCCACGACCAGTCTTAAGTGGGCCAGACCGATGTGAGCTGTGCTCTGTGCTTGAGCGTACTTTAGTCCTGTGCGTTTCCATGGCATCACAAGCGAGTTGGGAAAATAGGACGTGGGATGGCCACACGCACCTGGGCTGACTTCGTAAATAAATGGACGTGATTTAGCGCCTCCGATTAGCACGGTTGGCTACGTACGGTGCGAAAGAAGTTCAACATACATTTTTTCATCTGGCACAGACACTAAAGCATGTAAACACAACACAGAATAATCATAGATTTATAAGTGAAACATCACAATCTACACGTGTCTATCGCCCTTAGATTTAGTATCAATGTTTTGACACATTTCTGACCACTGCTCTCCCACCCAGACATCTCCCTATGGGGGGCGCAGTGGTGCATGGCTATTGGGATGTCGCCAGTTAAAGAGCAGAGTTCTACTCCAGAATGGCTCTGCACTGCGTGGGAAAGAAAGTGTTGGAGGGACCCGGTGTGGTGACGTCGATTATTTTGTTAACTTCCAATGTGTTTTGTTTAATCTCTCCGATTTTATGTTTCCAGCTGTTTTTGTATTTGTATTGGCCTTACAAAACGTAAGGTTTATGCGTATGTTGGTGTAGTAAACTGTCTTACGGACGAATGACTTTTGCATTCATTTATCTGCGTTGAAGAAGACGAATGACAGACTGCACGAGGCAGTGCCAGTACATCTCGCTACATAGACCAAAGTGATACCATCCTATCTTGTAGATACACGCATTGATACAATCCTGTAGTGTAATGCACATTTTAAAAAATATCCAAAAGAAAGATAAAGCACAATTATCACCGGAATCTGTAAATAAGATCTCTGGGCAGATGGTGTTGTGGCAGAATGCTCGACACGAGCCTCGGGGTCGTCTTGAGCCATAGGCATCCCTCTAAAGTGGGTGGGATGAGTCGCTGTGGGACAAGTGGGTGGGATGAGTCGCTGTGGGACAAGTGGTTGGGATGAGTCGCTGTGGGACAAGTCGGTGGGATGAGTCGCTGTGGGACAAGTGGGTGGGATGAGTCGCTGTGGGAAAAGTGGGTGGGATGAGTCGCTGTGGGCCAAGTGGGTGGGATGAGTCGCTGTGGGACAAGTGGGTGGGATGAGTCGCTGTGGGACAAGTGGGTGGGATGAGTCGCTGTGGGACAAGTGGGTGGGATGAGTCGCTGTGGGACAAGTGGGTGGGATGAGTCGCTGTGGGACAAGTGGTTGGGATGAGTCGCTGTGGTGTAAGTGGGTGGGATGAGTCGCTGTGGGACAAGTGGGTGGGATGAGTCGCTGTGGGACAAGTGGATGGGATGAGTCGCTGTGGGACAAGTGGGTGGAATGAGTCGCTGTGGTATAAGTGGGTGGGATGAGTCGCTGTGGGGAAAGTGTCTTGGTGGCAGTGAGGCATTGCCCAGCACACTCATGGCTAAACATTGGTGGTGAGCACTGCATCACGCAGATGTTCTCCTGCAGACGCTGGCTGTTATTTAAAAAAAAAAAATTATGGGGCTGTTGGTCGTGGTGTAAAACGCACCGGCTGACAATGCTTGCACGTTAGTATTTGATCTCTGGGTTACTGGAAATGACTGTCTTGGTAACTTCAGTGCTCTGCACGATCTTTATTGTTAACCGAATGCGACTGCCCACAACCCGAGCACAAGATCATGAAACCTGATGGCACAGATTGCTTAATTCATCGGATAAGTAGGCCATTGTTCCAAATATTTTATCTGATTGAATTCGTTTTACTTCAAACTAGGGCCCATATGTAAGTGGGCCTTTGCCTATAAATATCTGGTAGTTACACAGCATTAGTTAATGCAAGCCTGATTGCTGATGAGACACTGGTCAAAGCCGGTCCACAACTTGCTTGTATTGAATCCGTGCTGCTGAAAATAAATCAACTCAGAAAGATGTAGTTGACGCTTTGTGTTAAAAAATATATAATATACTTATTATGTGGATGGACAGATGCGGCAATGTGTGTTGTCTGGTTAATTTGTGTTTAGCTCAACTGTAGTGTGATTAGATTAATCGCCCCTTTCATAATCATGCAAGGTACACGTTGCATTACCAGCCTGTGCGAGCGTGTGTGTTGTGTGGAATGATGGGTGAGTCATTGAGCATTAGTGGCGGTTTCCGTTGGTTGTAAGTTTTTGTTGAAGGAGGTGTTTTATAGTGCCAAGTGCTCATTGACCGGTGGGAACGTGATATGCCACGGGAGAGTTCGCTGCATCGGGAACAAGGCACTTGGCTGTGTTCTCGGCAAAACAGCTTCGGGTCCCTTGGTGATGGATGACGACGCTCACCGACTGGATTGCTGATTTATTTCCGTCTCTACACGCAGCCACCGTTTCTTTCAATTGCGAAATCCTGCAATTCCAAATCGCCGCCCTCTGCACCGAGCATATAACGGATTTGGTCTGCGGGGCACAGTCTGATGCGAAGTGTTCGCCTAAGTTGTGGGGAACCAATCTGGTGAACAACACCTTGGTAAATGTCCCCGTGAGAGATTGCCACCGCTCGTGACGGACAGGACGGTCCTCGTCCAGCCGCTCGGCCACCGCGTCCTCGACGTCAAGTCACCGCACAGATAGCTCATCCCGTGCAGGAGTTGTCCCCTGGCATCCAGACCAGACGGTGAATGTCGTCTCTCTCTCTCAATGCAAACGGCCGCGGTGCCTGGTGTGCAGGAGCGCGTGGGATAGATCCCAAGCCTGACGCCTGCTGCTGCTGTATATTTGGAGTTTGCGTTGTCTCTCTCTCTCTCTCCCTGTGGTCGCGTGGATTTGTCTTTCGGTGTCCTCCGGGTTGTCTCCACATTTAAAAACATGCGTCTAGAGTCTTTGGCTTCGATACATTTGCACGTGATAAACCACTGCAGTTTAACACGTAGGCTTTCGCGACCAATACCAATAATACCGTTTTTTTGGGTTAGATCGCGTTAATGTTTCGTTAAACCCGCCACCACTGGACACAATCGATTAGTAAGGTTTGTTGCGTAAACAGAACATGCCAATTCGTTACTACATTTACAATGTTGTGGATTTACTCTCCAACAGACCGGTGTGCTGTACGAGTAACGGATTGGCACGTTCCGTTTATGTGAGAAACTAATTGACTGTGTCGGGTGGTGGCGGGTTTAACGACACATTCACATTTACGCGATCTCACCCAAAAAAACTTTATTATGGGTAAACCACTTAATTGGGCTTTCATTTGTGGTCAGGTCGTTTCTGAAAAAGAGCTACATAGCTCAATGACCCTTACGTGATAAAATAGATGTTTTTTTTAATAGATTAGAACATCTTCCACACATGCATCGTCAACTAAGCAGTGATGACTCCGCTTCAGTTTTCCTTGTCACTGCCCGAATGTTCATATTTGCGGTTTGCTTCGTGTTACCGTGCAGACGGTCGCGTCTTGATACAGCGCGCTTCCAAGACGTGTTCTAGAACAGTGCAAACGTGGTTCACTTTCATTCACATTATTTCTCAAGTGAGGCAGTAGACGCCTTTTGGCTTTCTAGGAACCTCATGGAATGTCCTCAAAGGTTGTCGCTTCAACCAATGGATGTGTGTCTGGCAGCATATGAGACCGGTCAGGGACCTATGGGCTCCAATCTCGAGGGTGTTGTGATCTCTAAAAGAACTCTGTCAATCACATTTGCTAGGAACTGGATGTGTTCACACACCCAGCGTATGGGCCGTTGGATGCCTGTGATTTGTCCTGTTTTGAATGAAATCTTGTTTCTGGATAAAGTTCACATTTATTCCACAAACCACTGTACATTGTACACGTACAGCCCTTGTTCAACTCACTGCTGGATGAGGGCCTGCCCATGCCACGTGGGTTGTGGGGGTTTAACCATATTTCCTCGATTCAGTGCAGGTTTTTAAAGGTGGGGAGAAAGTATGTGTAAACATAGACGTACAATACAACAATGTACTTTGCTGGACTGCCCTCTGTTTTGTGCGAGGTGATCACACATCCAGCCTCAGCCCTGTTTAACTTCCACGTTATAATGAGATAAGGCACATTCTGGGTGATTTGGTCATTGGCTTTTGTTTTGATTACAAAGTCACACGTCTGAATGGCTCTTTATCCTTTCTGAAAAAGGTTGGATATGTCTCAACACCTGCGCTTTCCAAGTTTCTGTCCAAGGGGCCGTCCGTAAATGACGTCACGCACCTGGGGGGGGGGGGGGGGGGTCAGACAGTTGTGACGATGTGTGACGGGGGGAGGGGGGTGAGAAATGTGACGTCACATCAAAATGCGCAACTTTAAATAACACGTTCTGCTTAATTAAATAGACTTTTTAAATAAATGTTTTCTCCTACAACATCAGAGTGCAGCGCCACATGAAATACTCACTACAATGACAATAGTTTAAAGCGATTTGAAGCATGTTTCATATATTTTGGGGGGGGGGGGGGCAGAGCTTTGTGACGTCATCTTTGAGGGGGGTCTGACTTTTTGTGACGTCGTGTGACGAAGGGGGGGTCAAAAATCGTACAAAATCGCATGACGTCATTTATGGACGGCCCCCAATGCCCACTGCAAATGCCGTGTGGGTGTTCACAGAGGACGCATGCGTCGAGTCGCTGTGTGATGTTACCCGAAGAGCAGCAGAGAAGCAGTCACCAAATGACAACAATTACAATATATTTTTATTTCACCTTTATTTAACCAGGTAAAAAAAAATCATTGAGGCTAGAAACCTCTTTTGCGAGGGGACCTGGCAAGAATTGAGCATTTTATATGGCAGTCGCTTAGATCCCTCAGCGACTCCAAGTGCCTTACGTCACATCTCATCTCACACATTTGAAGGGGGCTCCCCAGTGACAGCTGTCTCTGTGTGTGGCACAAGGTGACTCGACACTGGCCTGAACGTGGTCATTAATCCTCCAGTAGGGGGTGGGGCAATGATTGTCGCTCTGTGAGTGATATTATTTGATTCGTTTGCAACGTATGTTTTTTTTTAAATTGGTTAATATTTGGACCATGGCACCAGCGCACAGTAACTTGCTCTTTTCGATTGACGTCATTGAGGATCTGCAATATCCACTTGGACGCAGCCGGTGAATGCTTAAGTTTAATACGCGACTGCAGTATTAACCAGGGTGGCCTGCCTATATGGAACCACGAACGGTCTGCAACGAGTGGCGAACGCGCCGCCGCGGCAGGGTTACGTCGCCTCCCGTGTCGACAAAGCGAGGAATTGCTCGTCCTCTGGCACGGCCAGGCAGAGCCCACGTGGCCACCTGTTGGGCGGCGGACACCAAAGGGCTCCCCCAGACCTTTGCAGCGCAGCAAGACGGTCACAAGGCAGGGCCTTCCACAATGCAACGCTCGTCATTATTTAGCGGGTGCGTGTAGTGTCTGCTCGTGTGGTCGCGTGTGACTTTGCAATCTCCACAACTGCGTCAATGATTGTTTTGTGTTGTATAGTTTCGCGTCGAAGTTGGCCCCGGATTTGACGGGCGGGGGTCCTTGCAAATGAACATCTGGGAGTTCGTCAGCATTGGGTTAAGCAAGCCTGGCTGCTGATGAGAGGCTGAATATCGAAACCGGTGCACAGTTTGCTTGTGTCGCGTCATTGCTACTGGCACGCACTCCCA